TTATTGAGAATTAATATCTGTTAAGTCACAATATGATATTGCTACTCCAAGTTGCAGTTCATACTCCACAGTATATAATATTGGCCCTAAGTTTCAGATGATACTCCATTGCATACAGACTTCATTACAGAAGCAGTGCCAGCTGGTCGTTCAGCATTTTTATGTGTGAAACCATGGCTGGCCATCAATCAGGAACTCATAACATGGTGGTCCTTCACTTTATACAACAGCTGTTATCAATTCCAGACAGTGCTTCAAGTTGAATTAACTTTACCAGAGAAGGACCGCCAGGTTAGTGAAGAATCACCAGATTAAGTCTAGCCATTGTCAGGATGTGAAGCCATGGCTAACGTCTATCAGAAACTCATGAAATGGTGGTGCTTTACTTTATATACCAACTACTATGAATTCCAGATGTGCTCCAAGTTCTATGAACTTTGCCAAAGAAGGAGAGTCAAATTGCTGAGTTTTTTACTGGTTGAGTCTCACATTCACCAGAATGTGAGGCCATGGCTCGCCATATACCAGGAACTTATATAATGGTGGCACTTCACTTTATAAATCCCCTACTACAAGTTTCAGACAGTGCTTCACATTTAATGAACTTTGCCAGAGACAGAGAGACAGGTTGGCGAGTGTTTACTGGTTGAGCCTCGCCTTCACCAGAATGTGAAGCCATGGCTCACCATATACCAGGAACTCATAAAATGGTGGCATTGCACTATATAAATCCTCTGCTACAAGTTTCAGACAGTCCTCCAAGTTTAACAAACTTCGCCAGAGAAGGAGAACCAGGTTGGCAACTTTTTGGCAAATTGAGTCTTGCCATCACCAGAATGTAAAGCCATGGCTCGCCATATACCCAGGAAGTCTAAAATGGTGGCACTGCACTTTATAAGTCCTCTTCTATAAGTTTCAGACAGACCTCCAAGTTTAACAAACTTCGCCAGAGAAGGAGAGCCAGGTTGGCGACTTTTTGGCAAATTGAGTCTCACCATCACCAGAATGTAAAACCATGGTTCGCCATATATCAGGAACTCATAGAATGGTGGCACTGCACTCTATACGATAGCTACAATAAGTTTCAGGCAGGACTCCATGTTGTAGAAACTCCACCAGAGATGTAGTGTCAGGTTAGTGATTAGGTGAATTGCTGAGTCCAGGCACTGCCAGCATTATGATGGTAAACCAATCACTGACTAATAACACCATGTCAGTGGGCCCACTGCTCAGAAGTACCCCTATGGTGGTGGACCCACTGCTCAGAACAACACCTACGGCGGTGGGCCCACTGCTCAGAACAACACCTATGGTGGTGGGCCCACTGCTCAGAAGTACCCCTATGGTGGTGGGCCCACTGCTCAGAACAACACCTATGGCAGTGGGCCCATCGCTAAATAATAGCATTATGGCGATGGGTCCACTACCCAGAAGTACCCCTATGGTGGTGGGCCCACTGCTGAGAACATTACCTATGATGGTGGGCCCACTGCTCAGAACAACACCTATGGCAGTGGGCCCATCGCTAAATAATAGCATTATGACGATGGACCCGCTACCCAGAAGTACCCCTATGGCAGTGGGCCCACTGCTGAGAACATTACCTATGATGGTGGGCCCACTGCTCAGAACAACACCTATGGCGGTGGGCCCATCGCTCCATAATAGCATTATGGCGATGGGCTCACTGCTCAGAAGTACCCCTATGGCAGTGGGCCCGCTGCTCAGAACATCACCTATGGCAATGGGCCCACTGCTCAGAAGTACCCCTATGGTGGTGGGCCTATTGCTCAGAACTACCCCATCACAGTGGGCCCATCGCTCCAGACTTCCCTTCATCGCCATGGGCCCATCGCTGACAGCTTCCTACACAGACCGATGGGCTGACGTCCGCTGGCAGTCCAGTTCATGACAATGTCAGGGTAAATGGGAGTCCAGTTCACAAATATGACTGAATGGGCTGTCAGAGTATAAAGATTCATGTGACTTTCACATGATTGATGTGACGCGTATGTTTGGGATCAAGCACTGAATTTTATTTCGTAAATCGTCCCCCCTTAACTCTTGCAGCGGTGGGCAGGAGCCTGGGCGTGCTAGGTACATCCCTAGCACCCTCCTTTTGATTCCATTTCTTTTCACGTTTCTCCCCTCCACTCACTCCTTCACCTCCGGTTTTGGTCTCTCCTTTACCGGGGGTCTCACTATGTATAAAAGGACAAAGTTTCTACTGTGTAGAGGTAGCGTGCCATCTATCAAAAAAACCCAGCCTTCAAAGCTGAACTTCGTGTGTGCGCTTTCGTGTGATGCGACCTCCTTTATCCGGTAGCCAGCATCACAGATGTAATTCTACATAGAGTATACACCAGGTTACTGGCCCTGAGTAATCCCCAGTGGTAACTTCGCTGGTAACCCCCCGGGTTGACGAGATTGTAGTTCTGTCGCAAGCCGGAAAGGTGGAGTACGAGCGGAATCAAGTCCGCATGGGGTCTGAGATGCGATGAAGGAGAAGAGTCTATTCCAGAGGTATGAGGTGGGTAGCCTGAAAGCGTAGCTAGGAAAATCTCTATAGTCGCAATGATCGCTGGAAACGCATCGGACTAAAATCACACTGCCCTAAGGAGAACGCTGAAATGCGGAAATGCAAGACTGCCCAGAAAACGCATAAAACGCAAGACTGCCCAAAGACGCACTAACTGGATGGGATGGAAATGTGAATGAGTCTTTTCGCAAGCGTACCTTCCGGGACGGTGGGTTCTCCTCGACCTCTTCCCCTGCCCTCATACTTAAACTGGTCCTGACCTTTCCTGTCCTCCCGATACTGCCCGCATCTGCTTAACAATCGCTCTGCTGAACCACTGCCCATCACGCCATATCTCGCAATCCCATCCCCACACGCTCCTACTCAATCTGAGGGGTCGTCCATCACCGGTCCCGCCCGAGCGCCTAATAAGCACCCGCCTGCCTCGGAGGCATATCTCCCATCCCGAACTCAATCTCCCATCCATGGATGCCAGTGTCATCCTTCACAAATACACCCTCGCGAAAGCACTTCTTCGTATTGAGATCTTTACCGAGCCCTTCGATCCAATCCTGTGGAAAGCATGGGCAGTCCGGATGCACGTCCTGCTGGTGAGGCTCCTGCAATTATACGTTCCTTCGCTTTCTGACCCTCACACGTCCCTCAGGTCTTCATGGTCCAAGCCCAGTCTGAGGCGGCCAGCGTGGGGATCATCCTACCCCTTCCGCGCAATATCCCTGTCCTGGCCCAAGTGGAGATACACCTTGCGACAGCTCGCACTATAGAAGGCGGTCATCGGATGATACCTCGGATTGCGGACCACCTTCCTGCGGTCATTCCTCGTGGTTTGACTGCCCGCATTCTGTATGACGACCCTGCTGTCCGCGAGGACTTTGGTTTAGGGCACCCGCCAGATGGTCTCCCTGACATTGGTGCGCGGTCTTCCTGTCCCTATTTTCCCAGAATCGCATTTCTCAGCCTTTTATTACCATCAGGAACCTTGCACCTTCGGGTTGAGACATTGCGCAATGCGGCCCACGAACTGTACGATGTCATGCGCGGAATCACCGGTAGATGCGAGTTGGCGGATGGTACTTTGAGACGGTTGCAGATCGTAGTTGAGGAGTTAGAGGTAGCGTTTGGGCTCGTAGTGTTCCCTCCTCTGATAACCAGCTTCCAATTGGTGTCAGACTAGGGTCGGTCATGTCGCACCCTGTAGTATCTCCAAAATGTGAGATCGCTTTGCGGATGTGATTCCCACCTCAGCGCGCTATGCGTCCCTCCAGCGTAAGGCAAGCGAGGTAACCATCAGAGTACAGGAAGTACGCCGGCTGCATCATATTGAAAAGAAAATATTCCAGCAGCATGTAGCCCATTTTAGTAAATGCCATCAGAGAAGCGCCACTCAGCGCCAAGGGTGTGCGCATCGCTGACCTCGCTGTGCCATCGTTCCTCTCGGACGCTAACCAGCAGATGCCGCTACCTCTCGCTGGCATGACTAGCTACATTATCACAGCTTTAATTCTGTTCTTCTGCTTCCTCTTCACTCTGGCCGGAAAGTCCTGGAACTCCTGTGCAGTCAACTTCAAGAAAATTTGACCACATCGCGTGGGTGTCACCTCCCGCGACCCTCTATGGCCGCACCGCGTTTCAGCTCTTCGTCCCATCATTTCAGCCCTCTCACTGGGTGCACTCTATTTTATTTTATCTCCCTTTTCCGTGACATTGGTCTCTGTCCCTGGAACAGCAAGCGACTGACAGAAGGCTCGAAAGGGTCAAGCTGTCCACGCAGACCCCCTCTGCTCTGCACGTCAAGGGTCCAGCACTGCGAAACCAAGCTCAGGTGTTGCACGGTAAGTGCGGATGAAGCTTTTCTATGCCTGACCATACGCCATGCCTGATGTCTCGCATTCACAGAAACTTCCGAATTTATCTGTGCGGATTGTTGCCGGGGAGAGTGCGACTTTTATCATCGGCCCTGCCTTCCCATCTCTTGGCCTGCAAGACAGTATCCTGCCCCATGTAAGCACCACCTTCCGTGAACTTGAACGTGACTCCCTATCCTCATCCCTCACAGATCTAGCACAACCTCTCCATAATCTGAGGCTGTGTGACTCCAGCTCCTCCCTAACGGCTGTTCGAGCAGAGCTGCAAGACACGGTGCAACCACTCTTGAGCAGAGCTGCAAGACACGGCACAACCGCCCACAGCTCAGTGCACAGTGAGGGCCATCCCCGCTTCACTTTACCTCATCGATAATTTTGTTCGCATTCTCGAGGTAAGTCCAAATCAGATCACCCTCGTTTTCTCTGCTGCAACAGCTGGCTTACTGTCCCCGCCACACAGTACATTATTTCTCCTCCTTTTCTTACAATAGCCTGCCTTATCAAACATCTACACTAGGTAAGCTCCCGCAGTTCATTCATGCAGCAGAGCTCACTCGGAATATCTTTTTACAGTTGCTTATCTTACAGTACTGAACATGGACCAAAACCTCCCGAAAACACGTCCCTGTCCACCGTCTCCTTTGGCCCGCAAGAGGGCACACTTGTCGAAGCCCGACGAGAGTGCCGAGCTGCCATCTGACGTGCGCCAGCCATCTGTGGCCCTGCTGGCACTTGCACTGGTGTCGCGCAGTCCCCACCTGTCGTCGATGCAGATGCCCGCCAAATTTGCGACCATACCGGCCGTCAAGTCTCCCGTGGGTGCAAGGATGGTGCCCAATCAATCTATGCAGATCGCGCTGGCAGCAGTGAGTGTGGCCAGCACACCGACAGGCCGCAGTGCACTTCCGGAGATGTCAATGCAGGCTTCGCTCAACAACCTTGAAGCTGCTTTGCATCAAGTGCGCATGGACATCGTTCAGCGAGGCCAGAGTGATTGAGGGACCGGAGTCGCATATGAGCGGCACATCAGAAATTACCTCTCGTGGTGGGCTACATTTTAACGGCACGAGACAGCCAAAGCTCTGGGTCTCATTGCCGTCCCCTCAGAGCCGATCATGGTCGCCAAGGCCATCATGTTTCTCCAGCATGAGAGTATGCGTCCAAAGGTAGGAGTGTCACTCTCAGTTCACTCTGCGGTCAAGCTGACTGCTTGCGCACACAGAGAAAATGCGGCAGTGCAGTCATGCAAGACGGGACCACCATCGGGAAGTCAGGAATAGCGCAGGTGATCTCGGCGCTCGAGAACTACCGCAGGAACCATGAGCACCTCTACAAGGACAACCCGGATGCCAGGGTCAGTCTCCGCACTGACCAGCACATCCGCGCCATCGAAGACACCGTGAAACACAGCGAGCTGCTGCGAATCGAAAAAGCGCAGGCACTGAAGGCCGCGGGGACATCATCAGGTGTGCCCCTGTTCCTGTTATAGGTCCATTTCTGCAGGGGCACTCACATGTGCGTTCAGACACGTACAATGATGGACAGCTTACGAGCACGGCCACGAGCTTCCTCAACATCTCATCTGGCATCCGGAAGCTCACCACGCAGATTAGAGATCGCGCCATGCAGCTTACATCATCAAGTGCAGCTTTTCGGGGGGACAACATCCGCAGTCTCCTGTGGTCTGACCTGTCAGTCCGCCAGGTCCCGATGTACGACATTCAGCTCGGCCACAGGGTCCCCATGAGTTTGTTCATCAGGATCCATGTCTCTCGTCATGCTGATCTGATCATGTAGGCTCTCGTGTTCATGGCCAACAATGGCAAGACCAACCAGAATGGCCGGACCGATGAGTTTGGTGCCTTCCGTCACCGTCTGGTCGAGCTCTGCAGCATCGGGTCCATCGCACTTCAGTTTTTCAGCCACTTTCACATCCAAAATAACCCGCTCCCCTCCTTCGGCGCAGATGTCACCGATCGGAATTTTGGCGAGTACGGGCGTCGCAATTGGTATCAGTATCATGTATTCTACGCTTTGCGACTCGACATGCCCATGTCATACGAAAGTGAGTGCCAATGACATCTCCACTGACAGCATTCGCTAACCTTCACCGCGGTCTGTGCCAGCCCACTGCAGCTGCATCAATGCACTCCACATCCAGCATGAGATATTGATCATGAAGGTGACACATGCCAGCCGGTCATTTGCCGCACAGAACACGCGCAGCCATGGGGTCTCTGCCAGCGACACGAAGGCTCTGGGTGGGTGGAGTGAGAGCGGGTCATCTTGGTCCTGCTACGACCGCGAACTGCCGATCGATGCACTTGTCGGCTCGGCGATGCTCAACGCACGGCAACTGGGCACCTATTTCATTCCTCGGGGCATACTCGGTACGTGATGTCTGCCTCATCATGGTGTAAGAAGCCCTACTGACTGTCAACCTCTGTAGACCCACCATTGTCGCTAAAGGTGGCTTGAAGAACAAGAGTGCGCGATGTGAGCATGCTCTGAGGTGGATGTTCTCGCAAAGGACATTGCCCTCGAGCAATTCTTGAAGGTCCTCTCGTGGTTCCGCCACATTCTGCTGCAGGACATGGCTGTTCTTTACTCACGAAACCCCAATGCGCTCATGTTCCAGTATACACCATTCAACACTGCAGTGTTCCGCACCTTTGCAGCTGAGGCAGAGCCCCGCATTCTTGATGCCGAAGAACAAAGTTGGCTCGCGTTTCAGCATCTGCCCGAACGATTTGTCACCAGTATCAAAGGCGTCGTGATGGGGCTTGAGCTCGCGCAGCAGCAGGACCGTGATCTCAATAACATGAGATGGAGCACACTGTCGCAGGATGTCATGCACCTGAAGAGCCTGCTTGAAGAGGCTGTCTTGGCTCCCATGAGCCGCAGTTGAAAACGTCGATGTGAGTCCTGTTCATTTTTGCCACTGCGACATAATCCCCCTGAGGCGTGATCTGTCGTGTCTTGCAGTGGGCAGCAGCAGTGCATCATCTGGCTCAACAACACTGGCACCTATCTTGGCAGCCCACGTGCCACCTTCCATGCATCCAGTACCCCTGCCATTGTCACTACCGACACCGTTGCTGCTGTTACCGCCACTGCCACCACACCAGTGGTGGCCACCATTGTATTACAATTGCCCACAACACTGGGCAGGCCATTGTGCACAACTCACCAGCCATTGTAATTGTAATAACACTGGGCACATTGTAATACAATGGCAATTACAATGCCGGCCACATTGTAATTGGAAAAAGAAGTGTTCACAGTGAGAGTTGAACCCCTGGAGTTTTGCTTATATAAGCTACACAAGACACATGCTTTAACCACTACACTATTGGTGCTTGCTGTTACCTCAACCTCAATTGTAAATAATGAGTCTGTCCACTACAATATAATATACAAGCTTCTAATGCACATTTTAATATTATATCTAATACTATTACTTTAAAGAGTTAGAAAAAGAGATAAACAAGTAAGAGAACATAAATAGACACTATAATAGTATTTAACAAAGAGTTAAGAAAGGAACAGTAACAAGTGTTAGTATTTGTAATAGAAGCTTGTACATTATATTGTAGTGGACAGACTCATTATTTACAATTGAGGTTGAAGTAACAGCAAGCACCAATAGTGTAGTGGTTAAAGCATGTGTCTTGTGTAGCTTATATAAGCAAAACTCCAGGGGTTCAACTCTCACTGTGAACACTTCTTTTTCCAATTACAATGTGGCCGGCATTGTAATTGCCATTGCATTACAATGTGCCCAGTGTTATTACAATTACAATGGCTGATGAGTTGTGCACAATGGCCTGCCCAGTGTTGTGGGCAATTGTAATACAATGGTGGGAACCACAGCTGGCCACCATCACCGCTGCTGTCACTGCCGCGACCGCCGGCACTACCTCATGCCGCTGTGCAAGAACAAATGCAACATGTCGCGCCAAGCGTGCGATCAACTCCTGCAGGCACGTCTGTGCCAGCAATCACCATCAACATCACAAACACCATGCCCGGTGCTGTCCCCAGTGCATACGGTATGCCTGCTCCGGCTGCATGCACATCTGCTGTAGTGGATCCCCCACTATTGCTGCCGCCATCAATTCCAGCAGCACCAGTGATGGCAGCGACTTTTCAACCCATGGCCTGATTGGCTGTGCGTCATGCAGTCACGGTGCCCAGAAACTCCTCCGCACTGACATCGTCATCCACCCTGGTTCCTCGGGACTCACCCCTCGCTCCTCAGGCTCTAAAGTGGGCCACACTCGTGAGTAAGCATGGTGATGAGCAGCTCCATCGGCATGCACATTGGGACTTCAATGGTGAGTGGTTGCTGTACTATGAGTACCAGCCAGTACGCCAGATCACAGACATATGGACGGAGTGGGCCGAGGGGATCGGAGGCTATCTGCCAGTGCAGTTGCTGTGTGAAAAATGGGGTGCAAAATGGCGTCGGAACGTGCCTAAGTTGAAGACTGAGGCAAACTGTCGCATGAAAGTCATTCAGCTCATGGAGTCTCTGCAGATGAAGTGGAACTGGCACCTCGACATTGCACTACACTTTCTGCATGAAAAGTATGAGCCTCAGTATACCTCACACCAGTTCTGTGACTTCTTGAGGCACGACCATGGAGCGGGAGCCAAGTCTGTACTTGCGACGGCTGCATCTTACCCGTAGGCCCAGTTGTAGTAGTTGTAGCTTGGAAGCATCAGTTTTACAGTGCATCGCACAGAGGGAGGCTTGCACGAGTAGCCGGGGGTTGTGAAGGCGAGACGCGGAGAGGGTCATGCACTCGTGCACGATGCACGTGAACTCCGAGCACCGCGGGCCTGCCACATCAAGCGAGCGCAAACTGACATTGAATGGGATGAGACGATGATGGGGGTGCAGGATCAGGTGGGCCAGTCGATCGCATAGGCCGGCACGGCGCAATATATGCAACACATCGGCAGGTGGGAAAAAGGGGATGGCCGGGGTGACCGCCACGGATACACCGTGTACCAGCCCAGCGATCGGAGTGCCTGGATTGGCCGCGGCTGGCAGCGTGGCCCGAAAAGGTGCTGCTTATGCGAGGTCACCCACTTACATGAGGTCACTGGCTGGTGGCCACCAGGGCTGTGGTACATAGAGTATATTATGGGTCACCGCTCCACCCCAGTGACCACGGTGGTGACCCCCCCTAAAAGGAATCGAAGGGTCACCAGCCCTGTACACGCCGGTTGTCAGGACTCGGCTGGTGACCCCCCCCAAAAGTGGCAAGCGCGCTCAGGCGGATTCGGTGGGCGCCCAGGGCAACAAGGCTCGTGTGCGCCTAACACGTCGCGACCCACCCCCCACACTGTGATGTTGCCATCGCATCGTTGTCGCCGCTGCCATCGCCGCCCTCCAGCAGTTCCAGCCTCTTCCAGCGGTCCTAGCCTTTTCTCTCACGCCCCTCACGCGAGCCCAAGCCGAGGCAACAAATGCAGCTGAGGCAACGTCAAGCAGCGCGTTCACCCCCAACACTCGACGCCTGACCTGTGCAGGCCCATCCCACATGCGGCCAGCTGAACCCTTCAAAACTGTCTCACCCAACGGCAAAAGGGAGCAGGCAGTCACTTCATTTTCCTGGAGGCAAGAACGATGAGCATCAGATGGGCCGACATGCTCGTCCCTCACGCTCGCGGCCAGTGAACACGTCGGTGAGCATCGTGTTCACTCTCGCAGCACGCGTTGTTCGCACACTCGGCGGCGCCTGCCCTCTGTCAAAGCGCGCGAACTTGAAACTGGCCATGCCGTATTCTTAGGCGCGTGCCGCCCTGCAACCTCCCCGTCTTCGTCTTCTCCGTATTGTACATCTTATCTGTCTTAATTCCCATTTCTCCTGTGACTGAAGAAAACACGGCCACTGTACACACTCAATTCGCGGCTGCCAGTGATGCCAGCAGTGCGTCTTTCTACCGTATGAACAGATTTAATTTTTCTTTGGCTGCCATTTATCCCGCCACCTTCGCGGCCTGCCTCGTGTTGTGACCATTGAAATTTCCTGTGGCGATCGTACCCCGTCGCATAGTGCAGAGCAAGGGTGTACCCTCGGGTGTCCCAAGGTGTACCTGTACCTGTACCCATGCGGGTATCATACCCTTGCCCACGGGTACGGGTATCCCACGGGTTTCACGGGTTCCCACGGGTTTATGTACCCTGAGGGTAGATCTGTGGACCTTTGGTGCATTCAACATAGTATAGAGCTATCTAATCCCAAAGAATGTTATCCCACCCATCCTCAAGGCCATCATCATCCTCTTGAGCCTCAGGGAGAGAGACAACAGCCAAGACATCAGTATCATGTACAAACCCCAGTCGGCTCCACTCCGCAAGACACAGAAGAGCACGGATAGACTCTGCGGAGAGACCATTTCGCAGATGTGGTAACAATATGCGCCCCTTGTTGAAGATGCGCTCAACGTCAACAGACGTGGCTGCAGATAAGTGCATCAGTGGGTTGTAATGCAATCGGAGATCAGGAGACACCTACCGGGAATGGTAAGATAACTCATGGCCATCCGCGATAGATGAGGGAACTCCTTGCACCGCGCGTACCACCAGCCAAGTGTGTCACTGTCGACACGCTCCGTGTCAGCATCGAGATAGCATTCGAGCTCATCACGATTGTCTTCGCCCTTGGAGACATTCGTGTTCAGGAGGTTGTCGAACATGTTGCTAGATGGCTGAGGGGATGGCGATGGAATGTGTCGTGTGTGCATTCGAAATCAGCAACAATCGCAAACGATGGGGATGGACTTACCGTGCATTCCGATTGCTTCATCTGAGTAGGCTCGACATTCACTGCACATTGTGCATAAGCACGGTCATACTCTTCGCAGACCAGCGCCCTCGCTGTTGTGATCCATTCCACCTGCCAACCGGCATTCCGGAAGTACTGCAGTTTGTGGGAGGGGTGTAGCACTGTCGTTGTATTGTAGTTAGTGTATAATGTTGAAAGCTACCAATTGGAAACTCACCCATTGCGATGCGGTACACGTTGGAAGGATCAGTCTTGTTGTAGTAGCGATTCAGCGTCTTCTTCGCCATCCCGAGGGCAGCGCGGATACAGGGCTCATAGTCGGAGTCGAGAGAGTCATTCGTCAGCTTCTCGTCGATGATATCCATGGCCGGAATAACCATGGGTAAGCTAGGTGTGTCGCACGAGAAGTACAAGGTTGCGTCGTTGAAGACCTGGTGGTGGGCGTGAGGAGGAGGTGTGGTGATAGTCACATGTGACTCACCTTGAGGACGTCACACAGCTGTTTCGCTATCTCCCATTCATTGTCGTCCATCTCATATCTTCGCAGCTCCATCGCTCTGTCTCCTGTCATCTCATCGACTGCCAGCCGGTACTCCAGTGCAAATTCCAACATCCGGAAGGTCGAGTTCCATCGCGTGACGACATTCCGAGGCATCTTTCTCTCTGCCAGCTCCAAGTCTGCCAGCACCTTCAACCAAGCCGGCAAGAGCTTCGTTGACGAGTGTATGATCGCAGACGCGATCTTACGCAACTGTGCAAAGGCAGTCAAGCCAAGGTGAGTGCACAACATATGTGATATGGAATTCACCTTAACAAGAACGAGCTTAACAGGCTGCACGCTCGCATCGAGTGCTGTGCGATCCTCCACGGACATCCCCTCGCGTTCATCCTGGAGGCCCTCAATATCATCCGGTGGCTCCCCCTCCTCACCTCCTTCTCTCACTCCGAGTTCCAAATCCTTCGCCAGCTCACAAAGGGCATTTTCAGCGTCATCGAGTGCCGCATCAGCTCCATTCTGCGGGACGTCGAACTGGTGCAGCAGGCTTTTGGCCACGAGATTAATGATGTGGTCAAAACATCGTGCACGGTTTGCCTGGCCTTGGAACGACTCGATCAACTTGGCGGGCTCGTCGATCATGACATCGTTTGGCGATGCATTGTCCGTGGTGATGCCAAGCATCTAATCCTCTGGTGAGTAATTCCTCGCAATTTGAGTGCCTCGGTGAATATTGACATACCTTTATAGCAATTTTGAAATCATCCACCATCTTCGCAAATGCAGCGGCAAGGTTGACACCACTATGGGAGTCCGCGACTTCGACAACATCGAGGACCATTCGGAGTGGCACGCCCTTATGCTGCAAGTGGACCATGAACGCGACGATTGCCTTATGGTTCGGCGAGGTCCAAGCATCGGTGGCGAAGCTCAACTCGCCATCGTACTCCTGCAGGTGAGTGTCAGACTTCATCTTTGTCAGTTATGAAAGATAATCTTTTCTATCAATAAGTAGCAAATTTTCATGAGAATCGCTACTTTTAAGTAGACTTATTTGTAGGTGCATAGATTAACTCAGGATAATCTTAATATAATATTTCAGATAATCTTTCAGATAATCTTCTGGATAATCTGAGAATAATCTGAAGATTAGCAACAAAATACAATTTTAACTTTGACACCAGCCAGGATTGAACCCTGGACCTTAGGTTGATTTTATAGAATATAATTCCAAGTGACACTTTAGACCACTTGACCATTAGGCCATACATCACAACTATCTTATATTAAATTAGACATCTTTTTCTTGAAAAAGACAGCCAAATTCTGTCTATTAGAAAAGAGTAAGTAAAAGACACTTGACGTTTATCATAGATAGACAAGACTTATAAACAAACATTACTCTGAGTCTTATAGTCTTTTCTAATGCTTACAGCCTTCATATAATGTAGTACAATATGTAATTAATAGAATATATGTTTCTACAGTTACTTCAGCAAAACAGAACTTTGCTATACAATTAGAAGATAGCTATAAAGATCTTGTATATATAAGTGCTCAGTCTATCATATAATAGACTCTAGAGTATAAGCCTAAAATGAACAAATAAAATACTGTCTCTCAATAACTTGTTATATATTATAGATGACTATATTAAGACACTTCATGGTACTGCATGATAGTTTACAAAAACTATAAGCTGTAGAACAAGACTATAATAAGATGCAGAGTACTGTTTGTCTATAAGTCTTGTCTATCTATGATAAACGTCAAGTGTCTTTTACTTACTCTTTTCTAATAGACAGAATTTGGCTAAGTCTTTTTCAAGAAAAAGATGTCTAATTTAATATAAGATAGTTGTGATGTATGGCCTAATGGTCAAGTGGTCTAAAGTGTCACTTGGAATTATATTCTATAAAATCAACCTAAGGTCCAGGGTTCAATCCTGGCTGGTGTCAAAGTTAAAATTGTATTTTGTTGCTAACCAAGGGCAGACAAGCCGAGGGCATGATTACAAAGAAAGACAAAGAAGGAAATTTGCTTATATAAAGTAGAGCGTCTAGAACTGTATATATACAGAAATCTATTTTAAGACACGTAATCACGCGCCCCGACGCATCTTGACCCGCCATCACTACCTTCCTATTTGGGAACCAAGGCGCGATTTCTAACAGGTTATGAGCCCCGTGCCAACAAGTATATTTTTGTTGGATACATGGACGGACCCAAAGCCATCAAATATTATGATGCGTACACACGCCAGATTAAAATCTCGCGTAATTTCCAATTTTCTTCGAATTCCCCGGACCATTTGCCCGGCAACGCGCCTCACGTGTCACAAGAGCAAATAGGATCTGACGTACCTATCCTCACAGCACAGCGTGAGGGGGAGCAAAATATATTTCCGGGCACTTTACCTAGCAATGCGTCAGACGTGCCGCATGCGGAAAGGAGGCCCGAAGTCCCAAACCTCACAACGACCGCAGACGTGCAACGCGAGGGGGAGTTAGGGACTTCCGCGCCACAGTCACCTGCCAAAAATCCACGAAAGCGCAAACAGGATGATGATCCTGATCAACGCGAGGAAAGCGGGACGGACGCACCAAGCCAGCTCAGACGAACCAGAAGAAAGACAGTTCGGCATGATTACCGTCTAATGCACGACCCAGAGGCAGACGAAGATCTGGATAATGATCCAGATCAATCAAATGCCGAATTAGTCTATATTGCGATGAGCGCCCACGGAAATGCGGATGCAGACAAGCCAAAGATGCTTAGTGATGCCAAGAGATCACTCGAGTGGCCCAAATGGGAACAGGCAGTCTAGACGGAACTCAATCAACTACAGGGTATGGAGACTTGGGAGTTAGTGGAACCTCCCGAAGATCGAAAACTCGTAGGAAATAAATGAGTTCTAGTTAAGAAAACAAACAAAGAGGGTGAAATAATCAAATACAAAGCCCGCCTGGTTGCGAAGGGATATTCTCAAATCCCAGGCATGGACTATACCGAGACGTTCGTGCCCGTAGTCCGCCTCGAAACCATTCGAGCTATCCTCGGGCTAGCTGCAATCTTAGATTGGGAGATCGGACAGATGGACATGAAAGGCGCATATCTTAATGGAACTCTCAAAGAAGAAGTGTATATGCGGCAACCCGAAGGATACAGCGATGGAACATACCGCGTATGTAAATTAAAGAAAACCCTCTACGGGCTAAAGCAGTCTGGCCGAAATGGAATATCGTGCTGAACCGCAAGTTACTAGACGCGGGATTCAAGCGCCTATTCTCGGATCCATGTGCGTACATTCGGATCAAAGGTGATAAGATAGAAATCGTCACCGTTTGGGTAGACGACCTATTAATATTCACCAATGATTGCGCACTAATGGACCAATTGAAGAGGGAACTCCAAAATATGTTCGAAGTTACCGACCTTGGCGAACCCCGAAAAATTGTGGGGATAGAAATTGAGAGAGACCGTTCAAAGCGGACAATCAAAATCTCTCAGACAAAATATATTGAGTCTATCCTACACAAGAATGGGCTTACGAACGCCAACACGGTCGGGATGCCTCTTGATCCAAATACAGTGCTTGAAAAAGAAGAACCCGAAACTGATGACGAATGCGACCGAGACAACGGATATGCATCGCTCGTCGGATCACTAATGTACGCGGCAATTGCCATGAGACCAGACATTGCTCACGCCGTGCAACGGCTTAGCTCATTTACCGCCAATCCCGGAATGGCTCATTGGACTGCTGCTAAACGTGTCCTCCGCTATCTATCCGGAACGCGAGAACTTGGAATAATCTACGGGCCAATTGCAGATGTCAAGCCTGAAGATCAATCCATATTTGTGGGCTACTCAGATGCAGACTATGCGAACGATATCCGAGATCGCAAATCAATCTCGGGATATTTATTTAAATTAGGAAATGGCACGATCACGTGGAGCTCAAAGAAGCAAACCACGGTCGCGTCATCCACCACGGAAGCCGAATACATGGCATCCGCCGAAGTGGCAAAAGAAGCTGTGTGGCTCCGAACACTATTCAAAGAAATAGGTTTCGAGCAACAAGATCCTACAATTTTATTCGAGGATAACACAGCGGCGATCTCAATTGCACGTGATCCCCAATTCCACACGAAATCAAAACATTTTGATGTAAAGCATCATTATGTGCGCGAGAAATTGAGGGATAAATATATTGATATCCATTACTGCCCCACGGAGGACATGATAGCGGATATCTTAACAAAGTCACTCCCTAAGCCGAGGCACGAGAAGCTCACAAAGAAGCTCGGAATGCCCATCGGCTTGAGGGGGAGTGTTAGAAAGTAGCACCCAAATTTCTGGAGCTCCAGAAATTGAGGAGCGCCCAAGGGCAGACAAGCCGAGGGCATGATTACAAAGAAAGACAAAGAAGGAAATTTGCTTATATAAAGTAGAGCATCTAGAACTGTATATATACAGAAATCTATTTTAGGACGCGTAATCACGCGCCCCGACGCATCTTGACCCGCCATCACTACCTTCCTATTTGGGAACTAAGGTGTCTTCAGATTATTCTCAGATTATCCAGAAGATTATCTGAAAGATTATCTGAAATATTATATTAAGATTATCCTGAGTTAATCTATGCACCTACAAATAAGTCTACTTAAAAGTAGTGATTCTCATGAAGATTTGCTACTTATTGATAGAAAAGATTATCTTTCATAACTGACATCACTGCAGACTTACCCCTTCTTGCATACTGATCACTGACCTGCAGCATCTTCGCGACGCATGCCCGACAGCGCACAAATACTTTGTGCACATCTCGTGCTACTGTCCAGCGCGAGGGGATCCAATATTCTGGCCGACCCGTTTTCATCAAAGACTGGTATGCACGATCCTCAATGATCGGGAATGGGCGAAGGCTTTCTGAGACCCAGTGCACAATCTCCGCCCTGGCATACTGCATTCAGCCACCAACAGACCCGACTGGCATTCACTGGAACTCACCGGGTCTTGGTGCGTGTGTGCTGGTGCGCAGAGTAAGTTACCTTCCCTTTCCCTTTGCACTCGAATGCCGCGGTGATATCTCCTGACCATCTGAACTTTTCAACAGATGGGCGCACGTCAGCCGCCATGTTCATCTCATCAGCTGCTGCCAAAGCCTCCTCACCCCAGCACTTCCGGATATGTCTACGCATGTTCCCCGTCGACGTTCGATCTCCTTTATCAAGCCATCGCTTCACCTTCGTCTTGCAACCGCGGTTCGCGCAACAAAAAACATGTCCACGTACGCCTGCCTTATCTGTCTCAATAGTGACTTCAGGCTTATAGAAAGCATAGGCTGTCACTGTCCAGTCTTTCTGCATCTCGCCTGTCCTCGTGCTTGGTAAGTCATCTTCGGTCATGATATTATCATAAGTTACTCACTCAGCTCTTCCTCAGGTGTCACCAATTCCTTCTTCTTTGCCCGGACCTTCTCCGTGGCCTCATTATCAGACTCGAAGATCTCAACAACATCATCGTCATCGTCTGCATCCTCAACATGCGCGCGTCAATCGCATTTCGGTGGTTCGACATCATCATCATCGTCTGCATCCTCAACATGCGCGCGACGATCGCGTTTCGGTGGTTCGACATCCTTGGGGCGCAATCTCCGGTCGGGTGCAGATGGAGCTGCACCGGGATCCTGGCTGTCGATGTGCTGCTTCTTCCTTTGTGTGTTCTTTGATTGACTTCCACGACGTTTTGGCATGATGGTGATGGTACCGTTGCTTGGGTTTCTTTCGCCTTTATGTAGTCAATCTATATGCAGTATGTAGCTTATGAAATAAGGTTTTAGGCCATGTGCACTTGTGCGGCAGATCGGGCAAAGTCTAAGACTAATTAGTGCCTACGGGTATGTGGCGGGTATTAAGGGTCAGCAGACTGTGACCCCTACCTGTACCCGTGGATACCCTTACCCATGACCCTCACGGGTTGTCATAACCCTTGCTCTGCACTATCGTCGCAGCGTCCCTGATCATGCCCTTCACACCGTCACCTTCACGCCATTGAATAAAAGGCCCCCGGCTTGTTCTCCCCCCAAACAGTGGTGCACGGCACGTCCGACTTGGGCAGTCAGAACATTGAAAGATCCGTAGCTCTACGTGGGTGTAAGTCTCTCCCCTTTCGGTCCTCAAGCATCCCCAACGATTCTAACTGCACTCGGGCAGAACTTCCCTCACTCTCCCAGCCACATCACTACAGGAGGCAGAGGCCCGCGAGAGCTCTGTTGTATCACTCAGACGTGGCATCCTGCACCACATCAAGGGCTTGCTGTGAAGATGCTCCATCTGCCTACACACCTCTGAACCTCTGTCCCATGCACTGAGGAATCTCAGCTGAGTCGCACAATGACAGAACCATTGCAGCCACAGCAGTACCGAGTGGTCTCGTATGACCCACCCTCACCTGTGGTCCCGAAGAAGCGGCAGTGCGAGGTAGCCATCAGCAGTCTCACCCAGCACCACATCGCATCCACCTTTGTGCACTACGAGGTGCCGCGAAGGTCGCCCGTCATGTTGCCTGAGGTCCTGGGCCTGCAGATGACAAACTGCGAAGGACCTCTGCACCCCACTTCTGCGTGCAGCGCTGTCACTAGCCCTGGCCCTCCCCGCATCGTGCCTGGCACTGCTGCACTCGCCGCCATTGCCAGTTCACTCCAGCAGTCAATCGCGCAACTGGAGCTCGAGTCGCACGATACGCACATCAAAAAGGCCAAGCTGGACCAAGGTGACAAGCAAACTGGGTCGAGCTACGATCACCACGTGCAAAACTACATTAAGTACTGGACAGCGTTTCAGGCCGAGCGCCATCAGAAGGCACCCGAGGAGGTGCCCGTCCCAGCTTTTCCTATCACCACTCTCAAAACCTTCTTCTTCTTGGAGTATGAGATGTCTCGTGAAAAGGTGAACCACCCTCTGTGATGCCTCGCGATGGTGATCGCCCCAACTGACACACATCTTGGATCACAGCGCCGATATGGCAAGAATGACACCATCGCGGGATCAAATGTAGGCAAATTGCACATCTCGCAGGTGATCAGTGCACTTGAGAGCTGGTGGCACAACAACACCTATTTGTACAAGGATGATCCCGATGCACAGCTTTCATTGCGCTCAGACATCCGCGTCCGCACTGCGGAGTCTTCCGCAAAGCATCAGGAACTGAAGCGCATCAACAAGGTGCAGGCTCTCAAAGCTGTGGGAAGCTCCGGAGGTGAGAATTACTTGCTTACCGAAGCTCGCAAAGGCACAATTGACTGACAAATGATGTTTGTTTCAAGACACTTACACACCAGAGGAGCTCAAGCGCTGCTCCATCTGGTGCCTGTCCGACATTTCCGGCAGCAAGCAAGTTTGGCTGAGCTTAGGTGACCGTGCCATGCTCCTCCTGTCGTCAACAATGGCATTCCATGGGGAGAGCTCCCGCATCCTTGAGTGGTCGGACTTGTTCATGTCATCGATCCCCATGGATGATGTTCGCATTGGGTACAGGGTTCCGGTGAGTCAAGCATGTGAGGGGGATGTCAACAGTGCTCATGTTGCTATCAGGTGCTTGCTGCACTGGCAGATAATGCCAAGCACAACCAGCAGGGCCATCTAGATGAGCACGGTGCTATCCGCCACCGAGAGGTCGAGCTCTGCCCTGTCGGAGGGCTGGCCTTGCTCTTCTTCGGCTTTTTTCACGTCCTTCATCTACCACTGCCCGACTTGCTCCCAGATTTTGACGATATGGCCTGTGGTGAGTACGGGCACCATGACTGGTATGCCTACCATGTGTTCTGGGGGAAACAACCTGCAGCCCCTATGTCATATGATAGTGAGTGCCCGCTCTGCCTGCTCATTCCTTGCAGTGCCAACTGAGCTGACTCTCATCTCCAGACCACCGGGACAGACTGAGAGGCATTCACAAGGAGAATGAGATCTCGATCACAAAGGTCACGCATGCTGGCCGGAGTTATGCCGCACAGACTGCGCAGGCACATGGTGCCACGGTCAGTGGGACAAAAGCACTCGGTGGATGGAATGAGAACGGGTCCTTCCGCCAGTGCTACAAATGAACATTTCCAGTGGATGCCCTGCTCGGTGTGGCCATGTTCAATGGTTGAAAGCTGGAGATGTATTGCTTTCCGCGTGATGCTCTTGGTGAGTAGTTGGCCACATATATGCATGCCCTATGTCACTGATCAAGCTATGCTACCGTCAGATCCACCACCTGAACTCCTCACGCAGATTTTCCCCTGGGTCGAGCAAGAGCAGGTCGCTCTCGAAGCTCGAGTTCAAGAGAATCCACTGGCTCAAGACTACGTCCTGCGCCACTTCCTCTGACTTCTGGTATGGCTGCGCCATGTTCTGCTTCAAGATGCGGTGCTCCTCTGCGCGATGCATCCCTCTGCCCCCATTTTCGGTTTTGCGCCGTTCAATACTCCTGCTTTTCATGGCTTTGTCAGCGAGGCATCCGAGAAGCAGAAGAGCGGGCCCGTGTAGCATACCAGAACCTTCCCAAGCATCTGATAACCAGCCTGCGAGGTGCAACCACTGGTGTCCTTATGGAGCAGAAGAGGCAGCATGAGGAGAACAACCAGCAGATGGCGGACATGTCGCAGCAAATTCTCAAGATGGAAGGCATGATTGGCATGCTGGTGAACTCAAAAAGCACTCGCAAGTCAAAGCCAGGTATGGGTCTTCACTCACGGAAACGTTATCATGGTTTTAATCTGCATCATTGTCTCTGTAGCAGCCTTTGTGGCCCCGAGTCCAAGCCCGACAACCTCAGCCCCTGCTGCACCACCAGCTGCACTTCCGGCTGTCGCCCCTCCCACCATCACGATCAACTTCCATGGCAGCGACGGGCCTGGAGGCAGTGTGGCAACACCCACTATACCGTCGATCACAGCATCCGTTACCGAGACGCTGAGCGGTTCAGTGCCACTCATCACAACTGCCACCTCATCTGGTTCCACAGGATCGGCTGCTCCAGCACCATTGGCTCTGGCACCATTGGCAGTTCTGGGGCTCGTTCCACCTGTTGCGGCACTGGCATACACCGGTCCGTGGTCAGCTCGGCGAGAAGAGCTTCAGTGCATGTACGGTGAAGATGCCTTCAACAAGCACAAGCCATGGGTCTGGAAAGTGGGGGAGCTTCTCCCATCCTATCAGTACCAACCGATGAGCACGATTATGGACGTCTGGACAGAGTGGACAGCGGGACTCGGTGGGCACATTCCCGTGCGCGAGCTGACAGAGAAGTGGGGCAACCACTGGCGTCACAACAATGCAGCACTCAAAATGGAAGGTGGGCATCGGAAGAAGATCATCGAGCTCATCGCTGAGCTCTCGCAGAAGTCGCGCTGGTCTGTCCAACTCGCGTTGCACTTCCTTGAAGAGAAGTATCACCTGAGGTATAGAGCACACAAGTTCTGTGAATACCTCACAGAGTCCGGCGGCGTTGGACGCCTCGAAGTGCTGAAGGCCGCAATGAAGTATCCCTAAATGTGTCGCAGTGAACGGGCCGCAACGGGCTCCTGATTATTGTATTTTCCTTCTCTCCTAGTCCTTCAGAGTCTTTTCCGGTGTTTTCTTTTCTTTTTTCTTTTCGTCTAATCTACAATGGCCTTATTTCTACTGTACAGAAACTTCTCTAGTGTACAATACAAACTTGTCCCATGTTTTGCAATACAGATTTTCGAGTGATCTCAGTGCTACACAAGAAGAAATTGCATCAAGAAAGCATGCAGCGGGAGGGAGGCTGCGAGGAAGTCTGTATTCTGTATGGCAACTATTGCTAGAATAGGTAGCTACTGCCCAAACGGGCCGCGCGGCATACACGGCGCATTATGGTCACCTCACCGGCATACACGGCGCGTCATCAGCAAAAGTCAACTTTTGCTTACCGGTGTTATTCCCTTGATTAAGGAAAAATAAGGAGATCCCTTCTCTTATTCCTCCATTATTCACCCTTATTGGCTTTAATTGCCCAAATAAGAACAGAGACCTCCTTAATTAAGGAGATAAGGGAGCTAAATGGAGGTAACCAAAAGTTGACTTTTGCTGATGGTTATGGTCACCGGCGGCATATACCGAGGGGCACCGGCCCGCGCGTGGGAAGGTACCACGGGTCGGTCACCGGCCAAGCGCGGTGACCACCGCGGCCCAGGGACATGAAAGTTTCCCGGATCCAGTGATGTCATCATGAGTGCGCCCGCCGTTGCTTGCCAAAGTTCTATTTGTCCCAATGGATGTCCACCGTCGCATTTGGAATGTCCGACGTGCCACAGGTCAGTCTCCGAGCATGCGTGCGTAGCCGGTGCACTCATATGTTTCGCAGGCTCGGCATCAAGGGATCCTTTTTCTGCGGACAAGAGTGCTTCAAGGCGGGCTGTGAGTGAAGAGAGCTTTTTTTCGTGATGGTGGTGTATCATAACACGGATGCGAATTGGGTAACGCAGGGGTGAGCACTTCATCGGATCGCCCAAGTCCAAAGCTAAGGGACTCGCGCAGAAAACACACAAGCTAATCCATGATATCGCAACTCCTCGCCAGCCTCGCCTAGACGACCCCAACATCAACAAAAGTGCGCTTAGAGTTGATCTGCTAGAAGCACGCCTATCTGACATGCCCGGTGACTGCAGATGGGACGTTCAACCCCTTCGGCAGCTTCAGCTTCACGGGAGATCTGCGTCCGGTATATCCTCTGACTCCAAGACGTGAAGTTCCCGAACACATTGTGAGGCCTGATTATGCTGAAGATGGTGGGGTCATGAAATTGTTTCGCGAGATGAAAAACACCATGTAAGCTGACCGTAATTGCTTGTTTCTAGGGATACCGACGTCGGAGAGCAGACGGGCCGGCCAACCTCCGAAAATCCTGACCGAGGAGGAACAGGAGAAGATGAGGACTGTCTGCAGAGTGAGTGTCTCCGGGACTATCGCACTAGTAGCAACTAATTGCTACCCGTGCTCCAGCTAGCGCGTGAAGTGCTTGACACTGCTGCATCCCACATAAAACCTGGCATCACCACTGACGAGATTGATGCGATTGTGCATAATGCTACGATTGAGCGCAACGCCTATCCATCTCCGCTGAATTATCGTGGCTTCCCGAAGTCTGTTTGCACGTACGTGTCCTATATAATCACTCTCGGGGACCCGTTGAGTAGTTTATGGTGAGATCAGATCTCTCAACGAGGTAATTTGTCATGGTATTCCCGATCAGCGGAGGTTGCAGGAAGGGGACATCATAAACATTGGTAAGAAAAATGCCGTTCATTCGGCCTGAGACGACACCAGTTAACTTTGTACATTAGATGTAACAGTTTTCTACGATGGTGCGTAACTCTCGCGTTCGTTTGTAAGCTTTCGGTCTGATAGGGCTTGCGCAGGATTTCACGGCGATCTCAATGAAACATACCCTGTCGGTAGAGTAGACGATGATTCCAAAAAGCTCATGCGCACAGCCCGTCGATGTCTCGACGAAGCCATCGCGCTCTGCAAACCAGGGGCTCTCTTCCGCGACCTAGGCAAGACGATGTACGTGTCTCCATTGGCCGCCACGTCCTCGCAGCACCGCTAACTCGTGTCTGCAGCGAGCCAATTGCACGCGGGAACAACTGCGCGGTCGTGCGCACGTACTGCGGGCACGGCATCAACGACCTCTTCCACCCAACTGCCCCCAACGTTCCGCACTATGCCAAAAACAGGGCCATCGGGACGATGAAGCCAGGCATGGTACGCGCGTCTGCCACGAGTTTTCTGTGTTTGCGCTGACCGACCACCTGGACAGACCTTCACCATCGAGCCGGTACGTTTCCGTCTTCTGCGCACGTGTAGCAGCTTCTGACAGCGGACTGTTGTTCCAGATGGTCAACTTAGGACATAACTGGGACCTGGTGCATTGGCCAGATGACTGGACTGCGACCACCGTTGATGGCAGACGAAGTGCGCAGTTTGAAGAAACACTACTGTAAGTCCTGCACTCACCGGATCACATCCACCAGGCCTCATGGTTTATATTTGCACAGAATCACGGAATCCGGTGTGGAGATCTTGACTGCGGGAAAGAAGAGGGAAGATTTGTATGACTAGATTCGAGCCGCTATATATGATCGTCACATGTGCTGTCGTGCTGTAGGTTTTGTGTATAGCTGACTGCCGTCTCATGTCGAAGTATCATGAATGTATTGCACAACATACATGTCAAGCACGGCCGACAAGACAGAATAAATACGTCGCGTGAGTCCTGAAGGAGATGCATGCATACTACGCCTCGTGGCCAAGACTCAGCCGCCTCTCCCGAATTTCCAAGTTGAGATCCTGCGTACATTCCGTGAAGCTCTCCCTCCTGTCCAACCTTCCTATTCGCAACACAGGAACAGTGTCAGATAGACTCGCCTTCCTCGTACGCTGCCGAAAGTGCAATCCGTCAGTCTCCAGAGAAACCTCCTCTCCGGTGGCTGCGACAATGGTCGAAGAGATGACATTACTGGCGCTGGAAGTCTTCCGTAGTCTCTGCAGATCTGCATAGGAACTCTGATGACTTCGAAATCTTGCACGGAGCGTCTGGGTGTTCCCCTCGAGGTAGCCCAAGACGTTGTCGTAGTCACCTTCCTCTTCATCTGAGCCATCCGGAGTAGCAGCCCTGCTAATTTCTTGAGTTGGTGTGCCAGCCCAAGCGCTCGTGCCGCGCTTGGCGCTGGCGCTCCAGCCGAATAGACGTTCGTCAAGCCAAGTCTGCAAGAAAGGTGAGAATTGGCCAAACACAGCTCGGTGAAGGAATTTCACCATGGGGTGGTTGAGCAAATTACCCTGGGCTTCGACTCCGGCAGTGGTGCTCTTACCCCATCCTACTTCTCCGGAAGGAGGAACGCTGGCAGACGGTATCAAGATCTGCCACTACTCGGTTAAGGGATATCAGACAACGACAGAGTTGTGATATGAACCAGAGTACTCGCCTCGTCGAACTTCTCTCCATATAGCTGGGGCCCGAATTCATTGATAACCTCAATTAACTCGTTAGCAACCTCGACTCTCATCGCCTTCAACCTGTTGAGCGATCGCTGTTGCCCAGGCACCAGCGCAACAACCAGCGGTCTCAACGATCTGCATTGCGTGTTAGACGTGTAGCGCTGCCGGTCAGAACCACCGCTTACTTCAACACGTCCATCCCAGCTTCGCCAAACTTCAATGCAGCAAATCCTACCATCGGTAACATCATCATGACTAGGAATGGGGTCCAAATCCTCCAGGCAAACGGAACGTGAGCTTTGACGGCAACTACTGTAGCGAGAATGGCATAGAATGTGTATAACAATGGAGCTGCACCAAGCGAGATCAAAACTTTCCATGTTGCCACCACGTCTCGCGCAGCTACCTTGACGGATGAAGCCGCAAGTGCCTCTAGAATGCGTTGAAGCCATAAGCCATCTTAATTTCGGTTCTGTTGAGAGGTGGCCTACCTTTGGCCTTCTTCCGTGAAATAATAGAAGCAGCCAGAAATATGGGTCCGTTGAGGATGACACCTGGAAGTGCTAAGATGGTCCAAACAAAGAGCAGCAGTAATCGGTAGCTCAGAAGACCGAACGTCTTCCAACCCGCCTTCTGAGCCACAGGTACCTGACGGCCAATGTCACGTCAGAAGTTCCGATCGCCGTGATAGCGTTTACAAACCTGATGGTCACGCAATCCGAGATCTCGAACAAGGCGATTGTACTTGAGAACATCAGCACGTAGTTTTTGTACTTTTGGTTGCTGATAAAAGTGCAAATAGCCTTCGAGGAACCGCTTGTTTAACTCAACAACTTGTCCCAAAGAAAGATGCTGTCCAGGTGTCCTGTACAATCGACGGGCCGCTTGAATCAACTAGAAAACGGACGTCATCAGAGAAGATAGCAGTCGCAACTTTTAGGAGGGTAACTTGCCATCAGCGTATCATAGTCTGGTGCTCTGATTGTCACAGTCTTAAGACCGTCGTATATGAAATCTAGCAGCTGTCCCACTGCTTTCCTCTTCTGTGCACCTCCTTCCTTGAACATCTCCACGAGTTCGGGGGGAACATCCATCGCAGATCCAAACTCCACCACCGCACGAGATCTAAATCGGTGCGGGTGGAAATATGAAAGACCCACGGGGACAATCTTAACTTTAAGTGTAGGATCGTTTGCCATGGCGCCTAAAGCCATGACCGAGACGCCTGCTTTCAGAGGAAGTAGGTCTGTGCGATCATGACTGCCACCTGCATTTCATGGCTTCTATCAGTAATAACAGGAAATTCGAGTGAAACTAACCTTCTGGAAAGATACCGATACAACCGTTATTCGTGAGACATTGATAGACGTGGTGGTACATATCATGCTGGTCCACGTAGGGCATCTTCTTATAATCCAGCCCTCTTCCCCCTGCGGCCTGCAATTCCTTGACCTTGTCTCTTATCTTGGCAGTCCCTTTCTCCCCTCCGAATTCTTTCTTAATCTTCAGCTCTGTGTCGGAGATAACTTCAACGACTTCAGCTACCGCCGAGTCGACGAGCTTAGGAAGCATTATTTGCATTTTGGGAGTGAATTCTGAGAGGAAACGTGTGCCATGACCAATCACCACGCAGCAGTCTTGTTCAGACAAGGAGACCTGGCCAGTCCCAGGTTTCGCATCATCCGCAGCACGAACGACGGGTACTGCACAGGGGGTGAGCCATGAACTCACAAGTTGTCTCACAGGAATGAATACGCACTACTAAATATCAAAGAAGCCAAGAAGCCGACGGCCTTTCTCTTCATACTCGATGCTGCAATGAGAAATCGGACATGCCTCCTTCTTTCGCGGTGCACCTGCAACGCAAGCAACAGAGGATCAAGGAACTAACGGAACAACAGTCAGTTCGCAACGTTAACGACGTTTGAGGAGTGACACGTGCTTGGTTATGGTGAGGAGCTCCCACAAAGATGACAGGTCCATCGCGAGGAATATTGAATGCGCTTCTTGGTCGAATCTCTCTGAAGAAAATGTTGACAATGGTCTTGAAGAAGACCAGTGCGGAGTCGTAAATTATGGAAGAGGACACGTCCGTCGAAGAGAGTCCAAGCGCCTTCATCATAGAGTACATATATGGTGGTGAAGGGGAGATGAAGGCAGTTAGACCCAGCCCGGACTGAGGAGGTGCCGGTCATGAGCGTAGGCGCTTCGAACGTCATCCGGTCTATAGGCGCCCATGACAAACAACCGATTCAAAGGTGCATACACTGTGGATGCCAGATTGGGCGAAAGTCACTGGGAAAATCATTCGCCGTTTGGTTGACACTAGAGCATAATCACCCGTTTCCCGAGTACTACATTCCGGGCAACGGCCGGGTGATATTTACTCTGACTATGAAGCAATTCACTTGTTTAATGGTGAAAATCACCCGTTCCCGAACATCACTCGGATCTCGTGTGATTGGCTTTTTTCACCCGGCAAATGCATCTGCAACTGGTACTTTGCTCGGAGGTCTACAGCTGCCCATGTAGGACTATGTAGGCTCGGCTAGCACTCGGCTAGCCAGGTCCCTACTACATAGTCCTATGTAGGCCTCATAGCCTTGTGCAGTTTCCAGATGTGGATGACTCTCACTTACCTCCTTGAGCCTTCACAGTGATAGATTCTTATACAAAATTCTTCTGCTAGGTCATGACACTATACACAGATGCACTATAAGTAGGGAAACACAGGTAACAGTTACAGTTACATCACAAAAACCGCCGCCAGATTTGTAGGCAACTGCGCCTCGGGCTACAAGTAGAAGAGAATAGAAATTGGCTTAACTACCTAGAAGCCTGTTGAGCTCCTTATATACTGTAAACTAAAAGACTAGAAACTACCAGACTGTTCTCGAGACATTGTCCTTACTAATCCTAACCCTACGGACCTTTCCCGGACCTTTCCATAGATGCCGGATTGCTAATCCGCACACCTCTAACAAGATTTTATCTATTTTGAGTGACTCGGGGGTTTTATCCATTGTAAGGGGATTGTAGCAGAAATATAAGTTGATTACGATTGTGTGACAACATAAGAAATAATGTCACACCTTCCGATCACATCACATGTTAGCACCTTTTGAGGGTCTTGCAATCTCATTCCATTTGCCTTTGGATCGCAATGCAACCCTTGAAAGCCTTTTTGCCCTTCCTACCTCAGTGTGGTGAACTCCCGGCTAGCCTCTGCTGAGAACTGTATAGCTGCAAACTCCACAACATGTCTCGTCGTCATCTCTGTCGTCCTTACCTTACTTCAACTTTCAACTCTTGCCAGAACTGCTGACTCGTGCCCTCTTTTCTGAAATTTTCTGTTCAATAGGGTTTCTGTTTCAAATTTCAACTTCTTGCTTCAAACCTCTCTCCCACTGAAATGACACAGTGATCAAGTGTTCAAGCTCACACCTGCTAGTCAAGTCTGTCAAGGATGTATGGCAACAAGGAAAAGTAGTCTCTATCTTATTCCTTGACATCAAGGCTGCCTTTCCGAGTGCCAATCTAGATCACATCTTCCACAACATGTGCACCTGAGGTGTTCCCTCTGAAATCGTCAACTGGCTCTGCTGACGTCTCAATGGCCAACACATCAGAATACTTTTTGATGACTTCAAGTCTGCTCTTTTTGAGATCCTTAGTGGTATAGACCAAGACTGTCCCCTCTCCATCATCCTATATGAATTCTACAATTCTGATCTTTTCAAGATTGCACACAGAATTCCTCAGTCACCTGCCCTCAGCTATATTGATGATGGCACCATTGTGACCATAGGTAAGGGCTATTCAGAAACTCACAAAATTCTTCGCAGCTACATGAATGACAACAATGGTGCAATGGCATGGTCCGAGGACCATCAATCAATATTCTCCCTTGACAAGTTTGGACTATTCAGCATGTCTGCAACATCGCATGACCTAGGCCCAACACTCCAACTCCAGATGGCAACAATTGAACCTGTGGAATCACACAAGTTCTTAGACATCATCATCGACTGCCACCTACGTTTCCAGGAACAATGTGCAGGGGCATTAGCAAAGGGCACTGCCTGGGTGCAGCAGTTCTGACAGCTTACAAGAGCCTCTGGTGGCATCCCATTTAGGCAACAGCATGGGTGGTGTGTCCCCGTGCGGGTCATGGGTATGGGTTATCATGGGTACAGGTGTGGGTATCCAGTTGGACAACCCATGGAAGACCTGTACCTGAGCACGTGGGTATAATATGATATGCAGCCACCATAGACAACTGTACAGTACTATCATGTATGGGAATGATGGCACAGTACAAAGGTTACAAGGCACAATAGGCTCTTCTATCGATAAGTCCTCACACGCTATCAATCTATGCCTCGTGAAAAGAAGTCCACACCAAAGCATGGCACATCATCGGGGCCCAAAACAAAGCTGAGGACGTCAAAGCGAGCTGCCGATGACAATGTAGGTACAGCATCAAAGTGACGACGCACAAGCCAAGGTCAAGAGAGTATACCTAATGCCGAGGGGTCTTCTTCGACTAGAATTGATGCAGCCAAGGCAACTACTCGTAAGGTGACGGTGGAGACAGTACCAGACATTGATGACTCTATCGAAGTTCGGAGCTCCGATGATGACAGCATCCAGGCAGCTGTAGTTCCCACCATTGTAATACAATATGCCCAGGTGCTGTTAAAGTCATTGTGCATAACCTAATCACCTTGTAATATTGTAATTTACTGTGCAACATTGTGGTTGTAATTAAGATGAGCCATGTTGTAATACAATGACAAATTATACAAAATGCACTTGCACTCAGCAGAAATTGAACCCCTGACCTCACCGAAATTTTGCTGCTTACATAAGCAAACTTCAAAGCACTTTACCAACTCAGTCATTGTGCCTTGCTTAAGCTACAGCCTCAATTCTATATAAGGCTACTTTCTTCTCTACATATTCTAATATTTTGTAACAGCTCCTACATTCTGCTTATTACTATTGCTTCTAATAGTAATTTATCTACCTAAGGACATATTTTTCAGCATTTGTTATCTATTAGTTTATTTTAAAGGCTGAAATTAACATTAAAGCTGTAAGAAAGATATAATTTTTATATTCATCTATATAATAAAGCTTATAAAAAGCGGAGATAAGCAGTTTTATGTAGGTTTATTATATTTGAGGCAATAGTAGCAAGTAGAATGTAGGAGCTGTTACAAAATATTAGAATACGTATTAGAGAAGAAAGTAGCCTTATATAGAATTGAGGCTGTAGTTTAAGCAAGGCACAATGGCTGAGTTGATAAAGTGCTTCGAAGTTTGCTTATGTAAGCAGCAAAATTTCGGTGAGGTCAGGGGTTCAATTCCTGCTGAGTGTAAGTGCATTTTGTATAATTTGTCATTGTATTACAACATGGCTCATCTTAATTACAACCACAATGTTGCACAGTAAATTACAATATTACAAGGTGATTAGGTTATGCACAATGACTTAAGCAGGCACCTGGGCAATTGTAATACAATCCTGGGCACCACTAGTGCATCATGCAACAAGGCGATTGTAATGTCCCAGCGACATTCCAAAGCCTCATGACATTGATATTCTGTGACTGCATCGGACGATACGTCAACGTATACCTTGACGACATATTCGTGTTCTTCGATACAATCGAAGAACACGAACGTCATCTGGAAATCATATTCCGTAAGCTGAGGGAGGCAAAGCACTACCTCAGCGAGACGAAATGCGACCTATACTCACGGAGCATGGATTGCCTAGGTCATCTAATCGATGACCGAGGACTCCACGCAGACTCAGACAAGATGAGCTGTATTCGCGAATGGCGAATACCTTGATCTTACAAAGAAGTACAATGATTCCTAGCACCAGTGGTGGCCAGTATTGTATAATAATACTGCAGGTAGCTGGGCAAGGTGTTGTTCACTACTCACCAGTTCTTGTCAATTGTCAAAGTTATTGTTAACAACAGTTTGAGAGGATTGTAATACAATAACAACTTGTACAAAACAACTTGCACTTAGCCAGGCTTGGACCCTGATCTTCCAGACACATGATTACATAAGCACATGCCGCACACACAATTTACCAACTGCTCCATTGGGCCATGCATTTCTCTCAGCCTCAATTCTATATAAGGCTACTGCCTTCTCTAATATACATATTAGAATCTTTTGTAATAACTACTATATCCTGTTGTTACTGTGGCTTCTAACAGTGATTGATGTCCCTGTTAATAAGTCTTTGAATGCCTAATATTAAGCATTTCTTTTTTAGTTCAGTAAATATTCAAATAAGATTAAAACTGTAATATCAAAATTTATAGATGTAATAAAGCTATTAGAAGAGTGAAATAAATAGAAAAATGTAGGCAAATAACTCTTAGAAGCCACAGTAACAACAGGATATAGTAGTTATTACAAAAGATTCTAATATGTATATTAGAGAAGGCAGTAGCCTTATATAGAATTGAGGCTGAGAGAAATGCATGGCCCAATAGAGCAGTTGGTAAATTGTGTGTGCGGCATGTGCTTAAGTAATCATGTGTCTGGAAGACCAGGGTCCAAGCCTGGCTGAGTGCAAGTTGTTTTGTACAAGTTGTTATTGTATTACAATCCTCTCAGACTGTTGTTGACAAGAACTGGTGAGTAGTGAACAACACCTTGCCCAGCTACCTGGGTCATTGTTATACAAAAGTGGGAACCACAGCTGTTCCTAGGGCTCGTGAACTACCTGGGACACTTCATGCCCGATGTAACGGTGTACACTTCGCCATTGTCGGACATGGCTCACAACGACTGAGCATTCGTATGGTGCCCAATGCACACCAAATGCTTCGAAATGATCAAAGCTTTGGCATACAAGGCACCCATTCTGAAGCCAATCGATCCACATCAACCAGAACTCATCTGGGTGATATCTGATGCGTCATTATATGGTGTTGGAGTGATGTACGGACAGGGACCAGACTGGTGAACATGTCATCCAGCTGGCTTCCTGTCGAAGAAATTCACGAGTGTGCAACGTGCTTATAAAACATATGAGCACAAGGCACTCGCGATACTGGAAGCCCTCCTCAAGTGGGAGGACAAACTACTCAGCCGACCGATAATGATCGCAACCAACCATCAGGCATTGAAGTACTTCGAAGGCGTAACCAACCCAATGAATCGACAGATTCATTGGAATGAGTACATGTCTCGATTCCAATACAAAATCCAGTATGTAGAAGGCGCGACCAATAAGGTCGTGGACTGCCTATCGAGGTATTATGAGAACAACAATGCGGATGAATTCACACCCATCCAGGACTATGCAAATGCAGATGTTCATCTAGACCCTGAGTGGGATGACCTACCCTCCAACCGCATTGCTGAGCTGCATGCCAGAATGACCCAGCGCTCAGCACAGCTGTCCAAGGATGTGCAGGAGTCAAGGGATCAAGAGGCCAGTGAGATGGCCTCCCATCTGCTGCTAGTGACACCAACTCCAGGTGCAAAGGACGAGGACCCGACAATTGCTGAATCACATACCAACGGACCTCCACTGAAGGCCCGTCTGGAACAGGATACCCCTTTCCTGGCCGCAGTCCAAAAGGGCTACGGCGAGGACCCATTATTCAGGAAGGTCATTGAATCCCCAACGGAATTCAGCACCTTTGTAATCCGGGACAAGACCATATATACGAAGAACCGCTAGGATGAAAAAGTTATCTGCATCCTGAGGGTCCTGTACCATCGTCGAATGATGACCGAGATCATCATCGATAGAGGGCACATGACCATAGGACACTACGGCCCACAGAAGACATCAGAATACATCCGATGGTGGTTCTGGTGGCCTAGGATCGGACGCGACATCGAAAAATTCTGCGTGATATGCGGGGCCTGCCAAACGGCAAAGCCTCACAATCACTTGCAAGTGGGACTACTTTATTCTTTGCTGATTCCACGGTTTCCATGGAATTCGATAGCAATAGACTTCGTCAGCTCATTCCCGTGATCAAAGGGATATGACTACCTATGGGTAGTCATATGCCACCTTACATCGATGGTACATCTGGTCCCCGTGAATACGATGAGCACAGCCTCGGACATAGCTGAGCTCTATGTCCAAGAGATTGTGCGACTGCATGGGATGCCCAAGTCTATCATCTCAGACCGGGACTCAAAGTTCACGTCGAAATTTTGGCATGAACTACATCGACTCCTGGGTGCAAAGTTACTCATGTCGACATCATTCCATCTGCAAACTGATGGGCTGTCTGAGCGGACCATCCAATTGGTATCCCAAATTCTACAGTCCATTGTGTCTCCCAATCAATTAGATTGGATAGACAAGATCCCGATGGTTGAGTTAGCGCTGAACTCAGCCACGAGCGCGACCACAGGATTTGCCCCATTCGAACTTAATTATGGATACTTACCACGAATGATTGGAGACCTGCACGGAACCATGAAATTCATGGGTGTGCAGGAATTTGCCCAACGAGCATTGGCCAACCTCAAGATGGTGCATAATGCCATCATCGCGAGTTGTACACACCAAACGTTCCAAGCCAATAAACTACGGCAGGAGGAGCCGGAGTTTACAATTGGATCGAAGTTGTACCTATCCACGCAGAACCTTGCACTACCTAAAGGTCGCGCGAGGAAGCTGATGCCCAAATTTATTGGACCATACGAGATCACCGATGTTCATGCGGCAACCTCTAACTACACGCTAGAGTTACCGCAAGAACTGAAGGACCGGCGTATCTTACCTACATTCCACGTTTCATTACTCAGATGATATGAGTCCAATGACGATGTGTTGTTTCCGCACCGTGAGGCAAAGTCGTACTACGACTTTGGCGACAATGTGGAAACGGAATGGCTGGTGGATGAAATCGTAGGCCATCGTTGGGATGGCAATAGTATCGAATTCCATGTGCGATGGACGCTAGGCGACCATACATGGGAGCCATACGCCCACTGCAAGGAATTGACCGCGCTTGACGAGTACTTCACACTAATGGGTGTGAAGGACTGGAGAGCGCTGCCGCGCAAGTAGTGTATGGCATAGGTATCACCAACCCACATGGGTTGTAAGTATGGGTATCCATGAGTATGGGTGTGGGTCAGCAGTGAGTAACCCATGGAAACCCATGGGCCATCTTATGGGTTTGTTGTAAACATAGAGTTCCAGAAGTGTGGTGGTGGCATAACTGTACAGTACCTCTATTAGATAATTCAAACCTGGCATTACATACAGCTCAGAAGACCCATCTCATTACTCTGAAAGCATGGCAGGTGATAGCACAAAGACTTGCATACTGCTATTATACTATGACTCCCACACTGCAACCCACGGGATACCCATGATGGGTCCTGACCCATAGCTGACCCATACCCAACCCATGGAAAACCCATGCCCATGTGATGGGTATGGGTTTTCTGTGGGTATGGGTGTGGGTATACCTTGTCAGACCCATGAAATACCCATGCTAGACACTATGCGCAAGACTGCACCACCTGTGAAATGCAAGAAAAAATAACCATAAGTGGAGGACCGGATGCATATAACATCAAAGGATGTACGCATCATGTCCACGTGACAGATCACGTGAGACACCGGCACTTGCCCGTGTAACTACACGTGTGGAAAGGCCACCGTCCTCACACTTTTACCACCATGTCCCAACCAACCTTGCCAATGGAAACCGATGACGATGAGGCGATAACAAGCTGCCCCGCCACACAACAGCAAGGCTGACCAAGGTCGACATCCCCGCGGCTCCAATTCAGAATCGCAGTGATGCCACAGGCCCCACTGCAACCACCACCACCACTGATCGCGATACGATCGATGGCAGCCCCAGCGATCGCAGCAACATCGACAACCACAGCACCAATGGGTGCTGGGAATGCAGTAGTGATGCTGCCACCACTGCCGATCCCGACAGTGGTGGAATGGTGGGTCTCATTTGGGACCCACCAGTTCACACTATACCACACGGAGGTGTGCACCGTGTGCTACGGGTATCTCCAACACATCGCGATGGCACGCAACATGGCCCCCTACCAGGAAGCCCACACAGATGCGCTCAACGCTGAGCAGCACCTGTTCTGGGAGCACTTCTAGACCTACATGGCCTTGGAAGGGGGAGGACATGGTGACACTCCCACGCAGCAATGCAACATGGAGCTGCAAGTGCAACTCCATGCGGCAGAAGCAGAAGCAACCACACAGCAACAATGAGTCGACAACCTACTAGGGGAGCGTGAATGCCTCCTCAGGCAGATCGCGTCGAGTTCCTGACCTCAATCGTCCCCGGACTACTGCGGGTGACTGAGCGGGGCTCCATGTAGACAACCATCCTCACTGGAATACCTACCTCCCCTGAGGGAGCAAAGGTCTTCTCCCCCATCGATGAACAGCAGCTTGCGCCGGTACTCACCACCGTCGAACGTGAGCGGATCGTGATGTCGATCCCCGGTGCGATACTCAACTGGGGGAGCACAGCGATACTTGCCCAGCTGTGGTTCCCACCATTGTATTACAATTGCCCACAACACTGGGCAGGCCATTGTGCACAACTCACCAGCCATTGTAATTGTAATAACACTGGGCACATTGTAATGCAATGGCAATTACAATGCCGGCCACATTGTAATTGGAAAAAGAAGTGTTCACAGTGAGAGTTGAACCCCTGGAGTTTTGCTTATATAAGCTACACAAGACACATGCTTTAACCACTACACTATTGGTGCTTGCTGTTACTTCAACCTCAATTGTAAATAATGAGTCTGTCCACTACAATATAATATACAAGCTTCTATTACAAATACTAACACTTGTTACTGTTCCTTTCTTAACTCTTTGTTAAATACTATTATAGTGTCTATTTATGTTCTCTTACTTGTTTATCTCTTTTTCTAACTCTTTAAAGTAATAGTATTAGATATAATATTAAAATGTGCATTAGAAGCTTGTATATTATATTGTAGTGGACAGACTCATTATTTACAATTGAGGTTGAAGTAACAGCAAGCACCAATAGTGTAGTGGTTAAAGCATGTGTCTTGTGTAGCTTATATAAGCAAAACTCCAGGGGTTCAACTCTCACTGTGAACACTTCTTTTTCCAATTACAATGTGGCCGGCATTGTAATTGCCATTGTATTACAATGTGCCCAGTGTTATTACAATTACAATGGCTGGTGAGTTGTGCACAATGGCCTGCCCAGTGTTGTGGGCAATTGTAATACAATGGTGGCCACCACTGGTGACTTGCCTTACTTCGCAGCAAGTAGGCCGAGTTCGGCCACACACCATGCCCCGGGAATGCCCCCACCACTGAGACACAAGCCCCCAGGGCCATCACCAAGGAGTGGTGCCCCTGGACCACTGACTGGTCCTACCTCAGGACCGCCAGCTGGCTACGCCCCTCGACCTCCAGTTGGTCCTGCCCCCGCCCCTGTGAAGTCGCGCGTGCAGCAGGCCTACGAGCACATTGACAATGACGAGTCAGAGTTGGAGCCGTCCATAACAGATGGCGACAATGAGCCCAACGACGCTGAGGTCCAGCGGCTCAACAAGCAGTGTCAGAGGAACTGCGGCCTGATGAACTTTCCCAGGCAAGAAGCATCGAGGAGCGACGACAAGGAGAAGACAGTGCCGTGGCTGTCGGACACCAATAATGATGTCTCACCGGCCCCGCACAACTGGCCTGATACGTTCCCCCTACCGGTCAACACGCAGCCGTGGAAGGCGACCGAGTGGTACAACTTTGTACCCCGGTACGTCCGTGACTCGCAGCGCCTCATTGATGCAGCCCATGGGGGCGACAATGGCGCATGCACCCAGGTGACCGACCTCATCCGGCAGATGCAGTAAGATGGACACTTGACCACATCCCACGACATGATGAACTTGCTCATGTCGTGGTGATGTCACAGCAGCTCCGGAGTGATCTACCCGCCGATGGCTCCACCTCCTCGTAGGATGACCAACCCCACCAGCTCATCGACGTTCAACGAGTGGGTGGCGTGGTATGCACAGAACCCGAGCCAGGTTCACTGGGCCATCAGGCACTTGAACAATAACCGCTCGGAGGCCCCCCTACACCAGGACCTGGAGGCAATGTGACTTGCACGCTGCATGGCCCCCATTATCCCACCCGGTGTACCCGCGACGGCCCACAATATGTTCATTGAGCACACTGCAGAGCTTTTCTCCATCCCTGGACTGTACGCATGGATCGTACAGGTCGGGCATTACCCAGTGGCAAATAACAACGAGCCGGCCCCTTTTTCCGACTCATCCGCCCAAAATTCGTCCATATACGATGTCGCACATTGGTATGCTGCCCGTGGGTTCCATCCTATGCGGATTGGATTCCTCGAGGAGTTCCACTGCTGACATTGCAACTACATCCTTGGACGGGTCCTCGAAGATGTGACCCCGTTCGAGGGACACTTCCCGGCGGACCTTCGTGACGGACATGCTCGACCGGTACCCCCGACCCATGAGTTGTTATCACTCGTCGATGAGGACGTGGTGATGCAGCCACCAGACCCCGAACCACCCACACCCGGTGCTGGCAATGCCCCTGCTGGCAGCACTCAGCTGAGTCCCAACCCCGGAGCGACCCCTGAGGCTGGTGACCCTGACCACGACATGGGTGGCCACTAGCTCACGCTGGCATGCCTCTCATTGACGTGCTGCTGTGGGCCATGGCTGGAGACGTGATGCATACCTTTCGTGTGCCCACAACCTGCCTGTGTGTTCTGGCTGTGTCTGTCATTGCCTTGGCCTGTCATTTTGCCTCATCATGCCATCCCGCCTCGCATCGCTGCCTGCGTCATCCACTCGATGGCGCAGTCGGTGTTATGGTTCCGTGGAACGTGTCCAGTGGGGGAGGGTGTAACGTGCCGCTGTTGTATTGCGGGGCACAAGTACCAAGCGGTACTTGTGCCCTAATCTTATCTAATCATCATGTATTATGTAATTGTTATGTACTGTTTGTATGTGCTCTGCATGTATCGAGCGTGCGTTAGTGTGTTGAAGTCAGAGACTTTACACACCACGACCTTGATACACGCACAACGCTCCAGAATAGAGCTTGGTGCACTGTATCTGAGGTTCGGTGTGATAAGGTCTCGCCCCCCCCATTACACTTTTTTACAGTCCATTTCGCCCTGCAAAAAATTCTATTCGACAGTGAAGACCCCTATCAAGAAATCAAGAACCTTAACTTGCCACCCAATGGCAAGTCAAGGCCCCAAAAACACACGGATAACACGCTCCCAGTCAAGACAGGCAGAGCATGCAGCTCTGGCAGATGTGGCCGAGAGCGCACCCCATGATGGCGTGCACGCAGACACTGGCACGCCAGCCCCAGAAATAACAGACCGTGGGCAAGAACTGGCATCACCAGCCCCACGATCCCCTACTCTATTGTACGTTGAACCCCCACGCTCAACATGAGGAGGCCGAACGGACGAACAGCAGCGGGAATCCGCCTCTGACCATAATGTCAGAACGCCGGTGAGATTCACTGGATCTCACCAGGCCAGCGAAGAAATGGAAATGACGAGAATGGGAAGGACACCACGACGTCCTTCGCATTACTCACAGAGATTTCTGTCCCCGGCCCTGCCAGTGCAAATGACATCTTCCTTAGCAGATGAAATACGTCGCGCTAAGGATAGAGCCCCAGGAAGTACTGCAAGCATGAGCTCATCAGAATGTGTGCACAGGAAAAAAGCTCGAGAGGCACTCCAGCAGGCTTGAGAAGAGGCAAACTGCGAACTCAACGTGTTGCAAGAAAAGCAAGAACGCGAGATGCAGGCCATTCGTGAGGCACACAAATGGACCTGCCAAGTGCAGAACGAGCAGTTTGAAAGGATAATGGACGAACTTGAAAACTCCTCAGGAGATGAAGTTGACCCAATGGATCAACCCGTCCCCTCGGGAACGAGGAACTTTATCGAGGAGATAGCGGTAGAGTGAGGGTTATACCCCTCAGAGGTCGAGGACCCGATGGCAGGTGCTCCTGATATAATTATTGAGAGCGCGTACCATCGGCTGGCCCGACCACAGCAAGAGGGAGAGCTGGATGAGGATTACAATTGAAGGGTGTTAATATATATCAGATACTTGGACCGGATGGCTCCAGAGTCCAAAAGGGCGTTGAGGGCATTCAGAGTACAACTGCTGGTATCATCGACACCTCGCACGATGTGGGGATCACTCCAATCCGTAACAGCTCCAGTAACAGCTCCTGAAGGCGACCCCAGAAGTAACGATTCAGATGACTCCAGTTCATACCCCGGAGATGACAGGAATGACTTCGACCATTTCAGAAGAAATGGTCGAAGGCCTGCAACACCACCCCGGGGACACCAATCTGGAAGACAATGGCTACCGCGATCCAATGGATTTACTCTGCCACCACTGCCTCCTCGACCAACATGACCTGCAGGACCTGGATACCCCCGTGGGCCACAAGGGCAGCCCATGGTGGGAACGAACACACGACCTGCAGGACTGACACAAATTCCTGCAGTAAACGCAATAACGGCTATGCAACAGCCCAACATTGCTCGGAACGTAACATTCCAATCAGGAGTGATCCAGCCAAACCCGGCAGTCACTACCACAGTGAACCGACCCCCTCGATTCCCGGGAATGAATACAACAGCCACACCAGGTATGCACACAGGCCACGTGACCATACAACGATTGCATGGCCCAGGAGCAATACCTCCGGATACATCTCCCACAATCGAGAGGATCCATACAATGGTGGACAAGATGATATCAAGAGATCCCATCGACGAACCACCAGCATACCTCAGAGTCACCAAGATGCCTCCACCACCGCAATATGATGGGAAGGACGATCTTGATGCATTCGAGGTCTGGCTACAGAAGTTACTGGAATACTTCAAGACTCTCCACATCACTGGTGACGCCATGGATGCAGATTGCCTGCGAATATTGGGGCAAAGTCTTAAAAACGATGCTGCCAACTGGTTCTTCCTGAATGTGCAGTCACCGAACTGCGAAGTACGACAATGGTACTTCGAGAATGCAATGACCCACCTCCACAGATGATTCCTACACAAGGACTCAGAGCTAATAGCATCTGAGAAGTACGACAAGGCGATGTACAGCTTATCACGTGGTGGTGTGAGTGAGCTATACGACAGGCTATTACATCATGTAGATCGCATGGTGCAATACCCAACGGAATATGCTTTCTGGAAGAGGTTTATGGACATGTTACCGCTACCAATGGTAGAAGTAATACGTCTAGCCCACCTACTATTACCTGAGAAACACACCATCAATGCACTGTATCGATCGGCTTTGGCGATCGAACAGGGCAACGAATGGCTGGACCAATACTATACATACAAGGATCGCTGACAGCCTCAGAAGACCGGGGACCATACAGAGACCATCCAGGCCAAGAAATCTGCCAAGTCCGAGCCCATTGAGGTGAACTCAGAAGCGGAGCTGGGTATGACTGATCACATTTGTGTATATAGAATAAACTGCTCACTTACACTGTAGAGGAATTGATGAAGGATTGGTGGTCATTGATCTATGCATTCTTTGAGCTGACTCCGGCAATTGAATATGTCGATGGCCGTCGTGTCCACACATTCAAGTGTTCAGCTAAACATCATTGTGATTTAATAAAGATAATCTTTTCGACTAATAAGCAGTAATTTAGATAAGAATTGTGTCTAATAAGCAAAGATCATCCTTCAGATCATCCTGAGATAATTTGAAGAATCATCTGAAAATTATCCGAAGATAAAATTATCTACAAAATACAACTGAGAAATTGCCACCAGTCAGGATTAAACTCTCAACCTCATGGTAAATCACATAACATGTTTTCAACTCATGCTTTAGACCACTAAACCATTGGGCCTTGCAAGTAGTAAACCTTATATATAATATGTAACCTTCTTTTTTGAAAGTAACTTAGTCAAATTCTGACTTTCAAAAGACAGTAAGTGGAAAACTCTAAAGTTGACTATAAACAAAGATGGTTTTAAAGCTTGTAGCATTTATATAATGTCTTGTAATCTCAGATGAGATTACAATAGTCTATAACAAGATGTAAGTATTCTTGCTCTAGTAGGTATGTTATAAATTATAAACATTTACTATCTATCTGTCAATACTGATTCACTGTCTAATAGACTTATATGAGCTATTGTAATAAAGAATTAACAGCCAGCTTCTTAGAATCTTAGCCTCTATTCTTTAGTTATATGTTAACTTGTTTTGCTAAGAAACTAGAAACTTTTCAGCTAAACTGTATTAAGAGGATGCTGTAATGACTCTTTAAGTTATTACATGAATGCTACAAGTTTTAAAACCATCTTTGTTCATAGTCAACTTTAGAGTTTTCCACTTACTGTCTTTTGAAAGTCAGAATTTGACTAAGTTACTTTCAAAAAAGAAGGTTACATATTATATATAAGGTTTACTACTTGCAAGGCCCAATGGTTTAGTGGTCTAAAGCATGAGTTGAAAACATGTTATGTGATTTACCATGAGGTTGAGAGTTTAATCCTGGCTGGTGGCAATTTCTCAGTTGTATTTTGTAGATAATTTTATCTTCGGATAATTTTCAGATGATTCTTCAAATTATCTCAGGATGATCTGAAGGATGATCTTTGCTTATTAGACACAATTTTTATCTAAATTACTGCTTATTAGTCGAAAAGATTATCTTTAATAACTGACATCACTGAGCTAAAAGGTGCAAGCGAACGATCCGGCGGTACCTTGACACGAGCGATGTGAAGTCAACAGGTGGACTGTGCAAGCACGCAAAAGCATGCTGGGGACAAGATGCGGTATTGGCAGTGGACAAGGCAAAGGATGTAGACAAGGCTAGGATGGCTGTCGTCAAGGCCCTGTTAGAGAACGACATAATCATGGCTGCCTTTGCACGCAAAGGTAAGGGAAAGGTCACTTACTCTCATCGGCAGCACACCCACACTGAGACAAAGTAAGATCTTATCATTGCCTTGCTGACAAAAGTTGATGTGAGTGCTGTAGAGTGGAGATTGTCCGCTGGGTGTCCAAAAGTACATGACCATTCAAGATAGTCGAGGACCGCGGATTTCAATGTTTGATAAAGATTGGGCGACCTGAGTACTATATCCCGTCAGCTTCCATGGTGTCACATGATGTCAAACTTGTATTTGCTCAAACACGGAAGCGCATCGCCAAGATGCTACAGGTGAGACTCAGTTTGCAGTCATGCGATGACACTAAATTATTGAAAACTTACCTAGAAATATGACGGGGACCTCAATTTTGCAACCAATGCTTGGACATCACCGAACCACAAAGCATTTGTCGCTGTGTCAGTGCATCTTGAACGTGAGGGTGAGCCACTCGTGATGGTCTTGAATGTTGTTGAAGTGGCCCAGGTACATTATCCATTATCCGTCGTCGATTTTCACTGACAATGCAGGACCAGTCGCACTCTGGGCTGAATTTGGCATCGACATTTGCGAAGATCTTGGATGATTTCGGAATATTGGACAAGGTCAATATAATCATAGTCACACACAACAAACAAGCTCACCATTTGATCACTCAGATCCTCAGCCTGACCGCAGACAACGCATCCTCCAATGACACGATGACAGAGGGATTAATTAACTTGCTCCTGGATTTTGTGGGTGAGCTGAACTGAATGCGCTGTTTCTTGCACATCGTTAATTTGGTTGCAAAGGCCCTGTTGCGACAGTTTGGCATACCTAAGAAAAGTGAAGGGGATGGCCTCGATGATTCAGAACAGGACTTAGTTGTAATGGGGGGGCAAGACCTTATCACACCGAACCTCAGATACAGTGCACCAAGCTCTATTCTGGAGCGTTGTGCGTGTATCAAGGTCGTGGTGTGTAAAGTCTCTGACTTCAACACACCGACGCGTGCTCGATACACGCAGAGCGCATACAAATAGTACACAACAATTACATAATACATGATGATTAGATAAGATTAGGGCACAAGTACCACTTGGTACTTATGCCCTGCAATACAACAGCGGCACGTTACATTAGTAGATCTGGCAAAGGATCTTGATTTCGAGGATCTTGTTACCCGTGCAGAAAAGGGTGCTGAGGATACAGGAGATGAGGCCACAGTCGACGAAAGTGAGGATGAAGAGCTTCTCGAGGGCCTATTTGACTTTACAGATGACAAACACGTGAGTCTGGCAGAGAACGTTAGGCCCGTGAATTTAGTGCTTGTAAAGGTAAGATCTGGACAGGATAACACACCTTGGGTTGTTGTTAATGCCCTACCTCGTAGCTGCGCAAACTTGCATTCAAGATCGTGCATTCGATGACAATTATCCTCCCAGCTTGGTATGCGACTCTGAATGATCTGAAGTTAGCGGAACGCATCATGCTGCGTGATGTTGTAACTCGATGAAATTCCACTTACGACATGCTCGAGTTTTCTCTAGACTACCGAAAAGCAATTGACACGATCAGTGCTGATCGCGAGTTAGGCTTGCAACAGTTTGAGTCGTCCGAGGAGGAGTGGGCAATCGCCAGCCAGCTCCGTGATGTTCTGAAGGTAAGTCACACTGTGATGTGACATACGTGGCTGCAAACGACACTCAAACTGCCGCTCTCAGATTTTGAAGGATGCAATGCTGTTCTTCTCTCATTTTACTCCGAATCTGGTGACTGTTATCCCCGCGACGGACCACATCAATAAACGACTGACAACGGAATCCCTGGACAAGACTCTCAACATTGCTATACACACTTTGCTGGGTCTTGCGAAGAAGACACTGAACAAGTACTACACACTTACGGACTCTTCAGAAGTCTACCGCATTGCTATGGGTGGGCTTTAACTTGTCATATGTCTGATCCACTGAACTTATTGAGCTTTACATGCAGTGCTTCATCCTCGACACAAACTTTCATACTTCAAGCAGGCCAAGTGGGAGCAGAGCTGGATCAACACCACTGAGGAGCTGGTGCGTGAAGAATTCAGATGCTCCTACTCTATGTCTGGTGACAAGGAGAGTGGTGGTGGTATGCAGAGTCCTGAGCAATTGGCGAACATCAAGGTGTGTGCTGTATATGCACACCTTGATAAAGTCACTGATTGCCTTCATTCAGAACAAGAACCACAATATATTTGATCACATCCCCGCACTTGTCGCACCTAAACATTCCGAGCTGCAGAATGAACTCGATGCGTACCTGAGCACTGATCCCGAGTATGTCGAGAATTTCCTCACTTGGTGGCACCGTGTGTGTGTGACCTATCCGCGGCTGTCGCGGATGGCCCTGGATTACTTGACTATTCCAGGTAGGTGTTCTGCTTTGTATATTTACTTGTGGTAAGCTAATTTTCTTACAAGCAACCTCTGTCAATGTCGAGCGGATCCTTCGCTGTGGCCGGCTCCTCCTCTCTCATGTCCGTAGTCGGCTATCAGCACAGACTATTCGTGCACTGCTGTGCCTCGGGTCTTGGAGTCTGCTCGGTATGGTGGAGGATGCTGATGTTAAGGCAGTCACAGTGATGGCTGATATGCCGGGTGATGAAGAGGAAATGGAAGATGGGTGGGATTCTATTCAGTAGTGGTTACATAGCACACTATCTACGCGAGACATGTGCTATAGTACAGGACCCATGTGTCGTACCCGTTGCGGGTATCATACTCATGAGTACCCATGTAAACCCATCCCAAAACCCATACCCATTGTACCCATGGGTTGCGAGTATGAGTTTACAATGGGTATGGGTGCGGGTATAGTCTCAGACACCCACGGGAAGACCCGTGCCATAGCCTAATCCCATTCTCTCACATGCAGTGCCTCTACCTTAGCATAGCGGTCCCACACATGCTATATGCAGCAGACATATTTCTCACTCCTGTCAGGAAGGTTCCTGGCCATAAGACAACATACAGCTCAGTCGGTGCAATCAAGATGCTTTCACGGGTACAACATCAGGCTGCACTCCTCATCATAGATGCCATGAGAATGACAGCAAGTGACATGCTAGATGTGCATGCCAACCTCCTCCCCTTTCCACTTCTAGTTGACAAGCACTGCCACTGTGCAGTGGCCCACCTATGTACTCTCCCTCTATCACACCCGCTGCACACCCATGTTAAGAATGCAAGCTCACATTACATCAAACATCAACAATCTCCACTGCATGAGCTTCTCCATGCATATCAGCTCCAGCCAGATGACATTGAGATTATCTCCCTCATCTGCTTTTTGCCCACATGATCACCCTCCTTCCAAGTTTCTATTGCTGACAGCAAGGCCGATACATTGAAGGATGAAGTGAGATGGGCTGAGAGACACGACATTCATGTCTACTCAGACAGATCAGACATTGATGAAGGCATCGGAGCGGCCACCATGCTATACAGACAAGGTCACACAATTCCAAAGATCCTGTGATATCACCTCAGAAAGTCATCAGAACACACAGTCTATGAAGCCGAAGATGTAGGCCTCACCCTAGCAGTGAAGCTAATCCATGAAGAGTTCATCATCTACACAGCCTCCTGTGTGGGAGACAACAAGGTCATGGTCCGGGCAACTCAACTCAGATAGCCCACACCAGTCAGATCGCAGTTCTGATAGCTCTCACCCGCTATGCTTCATCTTGTACCCTTTTTCAGTCCTTTACCCTCTCTACACCCTCCTACTGTACAGACTGGCAGTCAGGTGACACATCCATGCCCTAGAGACTAGAGGAGTTTTGATGACTGGTGGGGGACCACCAGACGGATCCCTGACTGCGGCAAGAGGACAAACCCAGGGGTAGACTCTACCACCCACAAGGGCAGCAGGTTTAGATCATTTCTAGTGTTCACTCACCAAGAGTGCTGAATGTGTGTCTGCAGATATGCCCTACTTTACTTCCCTCTCCCATCTTTACTCCATGTATACTTATCTCCTAACCTGCAGACACTCACAGTTTTTCATTCACAAAGTCCTGCACTCACATAGGCACAATGTTTTATTCGACACCCTGCTTATACATACACTAGTTAGCTATAGTGGTTATTGTCTACCATAGGGCTTCGCCCTCAAGGACAATAAATGGGATAAATAAATAAATAAATGCAGTATATCAATTCAAACTCAGTTATGTCCAGGTATACTACATCTATCCCCTGTGTGCATTTTGATGTCCAATCAGCCACATCACCATTTGTCACCATTTTCTTACCTCACTTTCATGTTTTCAGCCCATTCAGTCATGTTTGTGAACTGGACTCCCATTTACCCTGACATTGTCATGAACTGGACAGCCAGCGGACGTCGGCCCATCGGTCTGTGTAAGGAGCTGTCAGCGATCGGCTCATGGCGATGAAGGGAATGCTGGAGCGATGGGCCCACCGCCATAGGAGTATTTCTGAGCGATGGGCCCACCACCATGATGCTACTATTATACAGGCATGGGCCCACCGCCGCGGTGATAGTTCTGAGCGATGAGCCCACCGCCATAAGTGTATTTTTGAGCGATCGGCCCACTGCCACGGGGCTATTATACAGCCATCGGCCCACTGCCATAGGTAGTGTTCTGAGCGATCGGCCCACCGCCACGGGGCTATTACACAGCCATTGGCCCACCGCCATAGGTAGTGTTCTGAGCGATCGGCCCACCGCCACTAGGGCTATTATACAGCCATTGGCCCACTGCCATAGGTAGTGTTCTGAGCGATCGGCCCACCGCCATAGGTAGTGTTCTAAGCGATCGGCCCACCGCATAGGGATATTTCTGAGCGATCAGCCCATCGCCACGGGGCTATTGTACAGCCATCGGCCCACCGCCATTGGAGCTGTTCTGAGCCATCGGCCGACTGCCATAGGTAGTGTTCTGAGCGATCGGCCCATCGCCACGGTGCTATTATACAGCCATCGGCCCACCGCCACCGTGGTAGTACTGAGTGATGGGCCGACCACCATAGGTAGTGTTCTGAGTGATCGGCCCACCGCCACTGGGGCTATTATAGAGTCGTCGGCCCACCGCCATATGTAGTGTTCTGAGCGATCGGCCTACCGCCATAGGTATATTTCTGAGTGATCGGCCCACCGCCACGGGGCTATTATACAGTCATCGGCTCACCGCCACCGTGGTAGTACTAAGCGATGGGCCGACCCCCATAGGTATACTTCTGAGCGATCAGCCCCCCGCCATTGGTATATTTCTGAGTGATCGGCCCACCGCCATGACGCTATTATACAGCCATCGGCCCACCGCCATGGGTAGTGTTCTGAGCGATCGGCCCACCGCCACGGTGCTATTATACAGCCATCGGCCCATCGCCATAGGTAGTGTTCTGAGTGATCGGCCCACCACCACGGTGCTATTATACAGCCATCGGCCCACCGCCATAGGTAGTGTTCTGAGCGGTGGGCCGACTGCCATAGGCAGTGTTCTGAGCGATCGGCCTACCGCCATAGGTATATTTCTGAGCGATCGGCCCACCGCCATAGGTATATTTCTGAGCGATCGGCCCACCGCCATAGGTATATTTCTGAGCGATCGGCCCACCGCCATAGGTATATTTCTGAGCGATCGGCCCACCGCCATAGGTAGTGTTCTGAGCGATCGGCCCACCGCCATAGGTAGTGTTCTGAGCGATCGGCCCACCACCACGGTGCTATTATACAGCCATCGGCCCACCACCATAGGTAGTGTTCTGAGCAATGGGCCGACCTCCATAGGTAGTGTTCTGAGCGATGAGCCCACCGCCATAGGTATATTTCTGAGCGATCAGCCCACTGCCACGGTGCTATTATACAGCCATCGGCACAACCCCATAGGTAGGGTTCTGAGCGATGGGCCGACCTCCATAGGTAGTGTTCTGAGCGATCGGCCCACCACCACGGGGCTATTATACAGCCATCGGCCCACCACCATAGGTATTTTTCTGAGCCCATAAGCATGGGTCGCCTGAAATATCTGACTAGCCCGGGCATAGCTGAGTTATTTGCCTTGCCCTAGGTTGTCAACTGGGCTCGTATCGTGTCCGTGTCGTCTTGGTGAAGCATGGGTGGGTGAAGGAACATACCGGATGATTCGTCAGGGAGTAGCATAGGTGGATGTATGAAACATGGAGATTGGTCGGGGGGAAGCATGGGCGGATGTATGAAACGTGGAGATTGGTCAGGGGGAAGCATGGGCAGATGCCACACCTGGTTGCCCGAGCCAAGAAGTAGACCATACGAAGTGAATGGATTGTACCCGAAGTCAACTGAAGAGCATGAAGTAGACGAGGATGCGGACATGTGCAAATCAGCGTACGAGCCAAAGGACACCACAGAAGAAGGGGGCTCCGACACCGAGTCATTGCTCATGCGGCACCTCTTGCTCAGACCTATCGGCCCACCACCATAGGTGTAGTTCTCAGCGATCAGTCAACCGCCATGGGCATATTTTTCAGTGATTGATCCACCGCCTAACAGGGCAATGATGGAGCTACCGCCGGCCAATAATTTCCACGTAATCCACCCATCATTCCCTCCAATTCTGGTTAGCTCACTATCAGCTCTCCTTGCAGTATCACACTCTCTCCCACTGTGGGAAGGGTTGGCGAACTGTGGCGAATATCCTTCGCCATCTGAACATGGAGTTCAGAATGACTTCGCCAAACTCTCCCAATTGGCATCGGCGTTTCGAGACATGCATCAGATACAATTTGGGATGTGCCCTTCTGGGTAGAGTATGTGGAGATGAATGGCAGTCCTTTCCACCGTGAGTAGGGTTGGCGAACTGTGGTGGATATCACTCGCCATCTGAACATGCAGTCCAGAATGACTTCGCCAAACTCTCCCATGTGGCATTGACTTTCGAGCCATGCATCAGATACCATTGGGGATGTGCCCTCCTGAGGAGAGTATGTGGCTACTATGTTTCGCCTTACCACACCAGGTACATTGCCCAGGTTCAAAGACATGACAACCTTATATTCGACACACTACAGCACGAACGGACGCCTGGCATTGGGCGATTACATTCCTAACTCACGCAGCTGCCGTGTCGCCTCCTGCAGCTCTTCCAGCACCACATCCAGGTTCTGATCTGTCCTCTCGTGCAACCAACTAGTGAGGTTCACAACACGAACATGCAGCTGTTCAAGCTGCACCAGTGTAGACTCGGAGATGGTGTACACCTTCTCCTACGTTCTCGAGGTTCAGCAAGACTGTAAGGTGCTGGAACGTACCACTCACCCAGGGATCACCAAGTTTGTACCACCAGGCCTCCATAGGGCTCCCCGCCGGCCCAACCTGATGATCCCATTTCCACCAGTAGTCGGGTGAATCCTTGAGTAGGTTCTTAGGACGAGGAACGAGGGTGGTGGGGCGTGGAATCGCCTTGACGTCAATGCTGATGGGGTGCAGAACTTCGTGATTGAAAGTGCAGACGGTGAGGACACTGGCGATAACTCCGCCATGGTCAATATGGTCAGCATGACTCGCCAACGCAAGGTCACCACAGATACCCCTGACGGCGAACTGCACAGGACTCAGCAGGGTCAGGCGATATCAGCAAGAAAGGCGTACCATCTCCCGGCGCAAGCCTTCCTCCCAACGGACCTTGGTGAAGTGATCTGGGTCAGGCTCCAGTGCCAGAACAGCTTCTTGGATCCTCCAAGTGTAGACTTCCAACTGCAACCTCCCTCTGGAGAACAGGCAGGGGCGTGCATCTGATGTTGAAGACTGGGCAGACATGACAGTGAGTGGATGAGCCGAGGTTGATATCTGATCGACCTTATCTGATGTCTGATGTCATGCGATTGGAGAGCACATGCCGAGATGAAGCCCTCAGGCGAGGATGGAGGTCACTTCGCCAAATGTGATATTGGTGAGTAGGAATTACATACATGACGATCACTACATCGATATAGCAAACATGAATATGCGTACACCCCAGTGAACCCTGACTCAAAGCACATTTTCATCGCCCGCCCTTTCGTCCTCAATGTCCAGGGAGAGGATGTGGCTGAAAGCGTCAGTGGCGTGGCTGGCGAAGGTCCGCCACATACTCACTTGCCTGGCGGCATAGCAAACATGACCCTGCCAGGAAGGATCCGTCATCTCAAGCCAGTGAGCCCATCGTTTCGCATTCCGCTTGAAGGTGGCTATGGTCCAGGCCATTTCAGAGTGGACCAAGACACGCTCCTCCCTCCATCTCTCATATCGAGCTCTGGCACGCAGCCAATTCACTCTATAGACTGGAGGGTAAATTAGCAGGAGGCCTAGAGATCGATCGGACAATTACGAACACTCGTCCATCCATTCTGATGAACCTCAATCTCCAGCGACATCCATGGTCCAGAACCAAGCCAGGTTGACGTTCCTGAGCCCGGAGGTGCTAGCCTCGATGACGGCAGTCTTCACGTGCAGGTCCTTCTTATCCAAAGGGCGATAGAGGGCCAAGTCTTCATCGGTGGCGTCTAAGCGCATAATGGTGCGTCGGTTGGCGGAATAGAGCCTGGCGCAGGCCAAGACGGTCTGATCGGCAGCATGAACCTCCGCCTGTGCACGGGTCATGGTTCCGACGCTGTTGGCGGGATGAACCCTCTTGCGGTAGAGGTAAGACTTCAGTCCAAGCGCCATGCGAAGCTCGTGGAGGATGTCATTCATCAGGCCTTTGCGCAACTCCAACTCTTGGGCCGCCAGGGTCTGGAGCCCGTTGGCGACGGCGGCCACGAATCCGATCTGCAAAGGTAAATTCAAGGAAGCTCGCTCGGGAGGAATCGCATCCTCACCATACTCAGCGTCCTCCGGGTGTATTTGAAAAGGATTCTCATCCAAGAAATCCCAGAGCGCACCATCGTCACGATCTTCCATGGCGGGAACGTCCTCCAACCTTCCCATGAACTTCTCAGAGCGACGTTGGAATGTGAGAATGCTGACTTCAAGGCGCTGACGGCGCTCGAGAGTCTTGAGGTCCTCCGCCACGCTCGGATTTTGACCCGCCTTGCGGATATCATTCGCAAGCTTAAGCCTGAAGGCCGTCAGAGCTGTATTTTTGTTAAGATGAGGCAAACTCACTGTGTTTCTTGAATTTTGAGGCCAGTCGACAACCATCTGGCGGTGCCCTTCTCCAAGCCCTTGGCGGACTCCTCGCCCGCCAGTCTGAGTTGGGTGAGGTCTTTACCCGGGGCTTGCATTCACGTCAACTACATGCCACACGACGATGGAAGGATACTCACCCTTCATGAGCTGGACATCGAAGGTGTCCATAATCTTCGGATCATTTTGGCGAGCCTCCATAGCGTCGTCGTACTCCTTCTGCCATGCCTCAAGGACATCCTCATCTGTGGATGCAGATAAAGCTTCAAAGGACTCCTTGCTTCGTGGGAAGCCCAGGAGCACGCGTTTCCACTTTGTCATCAAGGTTGGCACTATAGGCAGCATAAGGCAGGTGGCAAATAGGGAAGGAGAAACCAGGCTCACCCATGCGAGTCGTCTTCTTCCAGTTGGAGTCATTCATGTGATCATCAAGGACTTCTTGGCAGTGAGCTCGGGTCATGCCCCTGGTACTGCCTGAGCCCTCATTTGTCGGCGCCCACAGGGTCTCGATGACCTCGCCATCGACCATACCAGCGCCAACTATAAAGTTGGGCGAGAATCGTTGGAAGCAGCAATCTTGGTGTCCGTGCACATGAAACAAGCCGATGCCTTGGTCTACCTTGAGCTCGAAGGGCATCCTCAGATAGGCGCTGTGGCGGAAATGTTTGCGGACATGGACGCCATACTGGCACATGATGTCGTACATGACGAGGATGAGGGTGATACCGGTGAGGGTCAGGAGCGCATTGCTGAGAGAGTAATCCATATTCATTTGTCTGCAGAGGGTGCGTCGGTGAGAATGAATCATGACAAGAGACATATGCGAACCTTTCTCCCTTCTGGAAATTGACGACAGTATGAGGGACGAAGAAACCATGTCTGGCGCAAGCAGTGGCCCCGATTCCTGTGGCGTCGAGGTTGGCGCGATCCACATTGGCCTGATTGACAGCGCGGTGCTCATGACAAGTGGAGCGCTGGTGGGCTTAGGAGTCAAGGGTGGAAGAAGAACGTGCAGCCAGACACGCACCTGATGCGACTCCATGGCCACCGCCAGATGAGCCTTGTAATCCTCTTGGCCAACCATGAATGCCTGGCCATCACTGAGGGCGACGTCCTCCTCGGGGTGCTTCATCTTCATGTGCTCTGCACTGAAATTGCCATCCATGACAAAGCCGCGTTTGAACTTCCACTGCACTGGATCCGCTTGCCAATCGAAAGGCAGGTTGAGCCCAGGCTGGGGACAGGCGGGACAAAAGATGGCGAGGCCACCCTTCTCCACAGGACGGAGGGCATCATGTGAGAAGCCGTGCCACTTGCGATATTTGAATTGGCGCCATTGGTGGGACACCCGCATCAGCTCACGATAACGGTCCTGGCGAGGAACTGGCATGAACGGTTGGGCCATGGGAATGCATGTGAACACTTACGGGAACGGTGCCAGGGAAGGCATTGCTCGTGACCCGTTTGAGCTTGCTGTAGTAGTTCAATGCCGCCGTCTTGCACTCTTTGTTCTCCAGAAGGAAATCATCGAGGACAGCGAATGTGAAGGCAGTATGGGGATCCTTGACGGTACCAGGGTAAAGTCCCATTTGAAGAAGCTGCATGTCACGCTCCACTGCCATCTCACACTGGCACCAGTCAACGCCGATATGGTGAACGCCAGAGATGCCGACAATGACTATGGTCCGATTCCCGTAACTATCACGGCGAGGTGGCCGGGAGAGCACCGGTGGCACATCTTCCTCCCAAGTGGGATCGGGAGCATCGTCGGTTTGCCTTGCTTCACCGTCAAGGGTGCTTGCCAGAGGTGCAAAGTTGAATGGGACCTCGCCATCATCTGAGACCTCGCCATCATGTGCATTTAGGTCTTCATTGGAGGCATTCCAGAAATCGGACCTCGGGGCCACCACCGGCGCAGGGTTGTTATGTGCTGTGAAGGCGCCCAGAGGGCAGGAATCTCCGCCATGCCCCAAATGGATGCAGACGCCAACCCGATACAGTGATGCCGGCTCAAAATAATGACCCTGCCAATGCTCTATCCGATGGAAGGGAGCACGCTGATGGCCATTACGACAGCAGTCGGTACAGGTGAGCAGTCTGCCCATACAGTCCAGGCATTGCCACCGTCCCTCGCCAACCTTGCATTCCGCACAGTTTCTGGGCTCAGGCGGGGCTTCCATCTCGACAATGGCATGAAGATAGTCATCACAGTGGGGTATCCAGTCCCTCATGAAGTCATTCTGGGTCTATCGCGCATGGTCAGACCGTCAGATGGTCATGGCGGGAGTGCCCACCTTTGTCTTCCGAGCCGCCGGATCCAGCTGAATCGGCACACCTATGTTGCCCAGGACGTTGCCATCATCCAAGTTAAACAAGGAGCCTGAAGCTGGAGCCTTCAATGGACTTTTGGAAGGCGATGGCACGTTTGAACCCGTGGGCATGGGCAAAGGTACGTCCACATAGCGTACTCCCCTAGTGGTCTGCTTAGCTACCTTGGTCACAAACTCAACCTCGTCATCCAGGTCTACAACGAGCCTGCTTTTGTTGCGTCTGCTCATGGTTCAGGTCAGTGAGGAGTCGTATTCCAAGCCAATTGATGAGCATTGTGTCCCTATCGCACAACACATGCAAATCACACACGGCCTTGCTGCCCATCAGACTACTCATCAAAGTGGTTAAGAATGGCTGCAATGCCTGGGCCTTATCACCTTGTGGTCTCTTTAGGCACCATATCAGCGTTATGCAGATAAGGATGCCATGTTGGTGAGAGGTCCGCCAATCGTATGTCGCCCTCAGTGCTAACTTTGCCTTGACTCGGAGTAGCATAATGTTCAAAAGGGAAACGTGCACTTGCACCGCGCGCTCGCCAACACTGCCGCCATCTGCCCCACTAGCACTCACAACTTCTCGACCGAATACATTTTGCCACCATCTCCGCCAACTTCGAGGTCCGCCAACCATATGCTGCCATCAGTGATAACTACACCTTGAGCTGAACACTGTCGAGATGTGAAATGCGCACTCGTACCGCGCGCTCGCCAACCTTCAGCTAGGATTCGGAAATTTGTGACTCCATACATTTCGCCATCACCTCCACCAACTTTGTCCCGCCAATGAAGCTGCCATCGACAGTCTCCATCCCCTGCATAGTGTTCTCGTCTCCATCAGTCTTTGGCATGATGTCCCTCTAATAAGCGAGCCAGTTAGGACCTGTTCTGAGTTAGGAATGCAGACTCGGTGATGAACTGTGCACATGCCAATGTGTGAGGCGTAATATGAAGCTTGCATCCAGTGGGGCGCCGGAATGCCTAGCCTGTTCTGGACACCCTCTCGCATGAAGTATGCATAGACGAGCCTTTCGCCATCTGCTCGAGTGACGCCATGACGAATCGCCTTTCCACAGAAGGCTATGACAGTTCCAGGACTATAATCGATGACGACACGCATGGCGGGGAACTTCAACCACGCGCAAGTGTAGTTGCCCAACATCGCCAACAGGTCGTAGAACGTGTATCTTGTCTTGCTATCTCGGTGGAAAGGAGTTTCCCGGTTGGCGATCACCTGGAGCGCATTGAATGGCGATGACCAGTTCAGCGCCATCTCTCGCAATTCTGGGTCTTGCTGGATCAAACCCAAGCACTGGCGTCCTGCGGCATATAGTGTTGGGTGAACGACGGCCAGGATGGCGCCCAGCAATGCGGAGGAGTCATGAATATCATGCAGCCAACTTCTTCCGCCCTCAAGCTTCAGGCTGGCGGAGGTCTCCAGCCTCCCAGACTCCATATGCTGCAAAGGCTGTCCGGACGCAAGGCAAATGGCATGGCGAGGAGACCCACCTCTCTTACTTGTTGGAACCAACCTGGCGAGAGACACAAGGAGCCCGCTGGGAATTGGGCACACTCCTCAGGAGGCAAGAAGTACAACGGGTTGTGTCGCCAACTGGCGGTGGTGCTGGAAGGCTTACTGGCTGCTATTGCTGGGTGTAGGGCCCTGGTCGCTTGGAGCATCTTACCTGGCGGTCTGGTATCAACACTCTTGAAAGTATCCAAGCCAAGATGCGTCCGTGCATGTCCACGAGGGTGGCGGGCTGGTCTATGCGTATTTCGCTCTCACCAAATGGAGGAGGCCACTTCCGTTCCAGTTCTGCCTCGAGGACTTCATTCTGCCCTGTGGGCTGAATCGAAAGGCTGTCGCAATATCTATCAATGTCCCACTGCAGCCTTACTATTACAATGGCGTGATCAGTGTGATCAGACCTGCGGCAAGACTAATGACTACCAGGATTACGGATGGCCTTCACAAGAGCATCTGCAATGCCATTGCACTCCAATAGGAGGGCGGATGGCATGGACAGAGGCACTTCTATAGATGGTGCAGAATGGGCTGCATGAGTGGCCAGATGGAGCTTTCGGCGGAACATGAGCTCCGAGACTCCTGCTATCTGATCGGTCAGTGGCATGGGTGACAGATTGCTCATCTTGATACTGTCTGCCAATCAATGGGACGATTACAGCATGCATCGGTTGAAGGGACGCACAGGTGTATGGCGGGCTCAGGCGGTTGGCTTGCAGATGCAGGGGAGAATGTAGGAGGGGCCAGAATGGTAAAGAACAGTATGCATTCATCTGCCTGCATATTGCTTGCAAGCACGTCCCTTGCACATCTCACATGTTCATCATGCCGCCGAGCCGGACTTGATGCCGCCATGCCGGATCACGGGCCGGGTGGTCCGCCATGTCTGGGCCCTTCGTCACCGCCATCTAATTGGCCGAGCCTAACTCCGAGGAAGCCCTTTATCCCACAGATTGGCATGCAGATGATCGCCAGATTGCCTCCGCCTAGCATTCGCGAGATGAAGTTGGCGTGGTGTGCTCTGCCATAGAAGCGGCATTCAACATTGCCTTTCACCAGGCATGAATGCTAGTGCATACCTACTACCACCTCCCGCCACTGCGAAAAATACACATACAATGCTTCAGCAGTCACCACACACCATGGCGAGGCGGGTAATTGGTGTAAGCCCAAATGGGCCATCAGCACGTGCATGTTGAGTTGTGGGCGGCCGACGAGGAAATGGACAGAGCGCTGCCCGTTGAACTATCGACCCCCTTCACTGTCCCAACACAAAAATCTCATCCTCAACATCGAGAAAGCATGCCGGCGAGATTTGTAATTTTGACGGAGCATCAGCCCATACTCTCTGAGAAGCTGCGGTCTTATGACACGGCAGATGCCAAGGGACGCAAGACTCTGGTTCAGAGCTTGCGCCAGAAGCTGAAGACACAGTTTGTCGACACGTCAAATTATGACGACATCATTGTGGAAACTGTGAGCAGTGTTTCATGTCTGTGAGGTCCCCACTAACTCTCACCGCAGAAAATCCGAGAGTGGCTCAATAACCACGCCCGCCATGCGCAGGAGAAAGTGACGAAAAAGCGTATGCATGTTTCTGGCAAGCCCAATGCCTTCAAGGTGTGGGATGCGCTGGAGAGGGACAAGGTGACTGAGGCCGCGCGAGCACTCGCAGCAGATAAGGGTTGCAATGTCTCCAAGGTGTGGAGAGTCGCACGGAGTGCCGAATGGGCAAAACTGTCCAAGGAGGAGCAGAAGGTGTATGAGGAAAAGGCGGAAAGTTGGCGCAATGGCACTCTGGATGATAAGACGAAAATGAAGTGCGTACCTCCTGTCACGTAGCATAAGGCAAATCCTGACCTAAGACAGGCTGAGGGAGCAGCGAATGATGCAATATCTGAAGAATTTTGCCAAGACTATGTGGGACACCATGGGCATTCGCATGGCATTCATGCTAGTATATCCGAAGGAAGCGGGGAGTCTGAAGGTAGAGATGTGAGCGTAGACTGTCCGACTGTCGCCATCTGCTAACCCCCGAGTGAAGGGTGGAGGTCAACCACACCATCACCAATGGAACTCCATTCGGGGCCTGTCCTGGGTGGCTGCGTGCTTACCAGCCTCTAGCAAAGGTGTTCTCTGAGTGGGCCAAAGGCGAATACGGTAAGAAGACCTCAGTTGCATTGTCGCTGGCACACTGACCTGATTTCTTAGGTGTGACTGAGACTACGGTGACGGTGAAGAAGACACCTGCCGATTGCATGCGGGCCATGGACAAGATTCAGTTGACGGCCAATGGTTTTCCTCTGCTCCCCTCGGTGCCCGAAGGTATGGCGGAAGCGCCTCTCAAGGTGATGAAGGTACAAGTTCGAGACTTCATGAATCATCACTATGGTATGACACTCCCACTCGGTGTTGAGAGATGCTGACCAGTTTACAGCATTGGCGAAGGGTGTTCGGAACTGCAAGTCGCCATGGACGAAGCTGAACAGCATAGACGACATCAATGAGGTTATTCCAGCGGAGATGCTACCTGAGAACTTCCAGTGGATCGATCCCTCAAAGATGACAAGTGTTCCTGTTCGTGCCCTCCTCGACCACTGGCGGGCACGCCAAGAGGAACATGGACCTGAGCAGACCATGCGATTCACCCAGTACTTTGACAAGGATGGCGAAGCTGCTCCCGCCAAGTATGATCCTCTTCCACCACTTGACGGATCAGCACAGGCATTAGAAGAAGGATCTGAACATGAGGTCCAAGAAGCACTCACACCCAAGAAGGCGGGGAAGGCGAAGAAGAAGGGTAAACCTGTGCGCAAGGTCACGGGAAAGGCGGCATCGAAGGCGACAAAGGGCAAAGCGGCCCCTGGCGGAGCCAAAGGCGGTGGGCGTAAACGCAAGACGAAAGATGCATACGACTCGGAAAATGATGCCAGAAGCAGCCAAGACTCTGATCGGAGTTCGCCAGATATACCCAGCATGGCTTCCGAAGAAGATACGGCCAGCGATGAAGATTCAGGGGATGGCGAGAGCGTGATTGTGAATAAAGCGAAGGGCAAGGCAGTCGCCACCACCAATGGACGTAAGGCTAACAATGGTGGTGCACCTCAAGCGAGTGGTAGCGGCGGTGCCAAGACGAAGGCAAAGCGAGGTCTCCAAGACCTTCCTCTGGGCGAACTGCACAGGTTTGACACAGAGGAGACCGATGAAGCATGGAGTGAACTGGAGCCCAGTACAAAGGAGCTCAGGCTTGAGCTTCAAGGCCGAGCCCCGCGTCTCACTGGCGGGAGTACTGTGGGGAGTACTGTGCCCCACCTCGTGAAAAGGAGAGACGTGTTTCTCGCCACCCTTTCCGTCGAACCGCGATACCAGGATATGCTGAAGGAAGTCAAGATTGCGACTGTGGTGAGCTCCTTTCGTGGGGATTCATAGCCACTATTGATCATCCGTCATATAGCCCCAGGTGTATCGTTTCGCCAGGTATGATCTGATTCCCTGGAGTGAATGGTCGTATGGCCAGTGCTACCTCCCGCCGTCATTTCATGCGGTGGACAACTTTGACATCATCGAGAACTGGTTGGGCAACAAACCATGGCTGACAAAATATCGGTTCTTACATCCACAGGGCGTACAACAATCTGCACTCGTGATTGGTATGGCGCTGAGGGACCTCACACGATCTCAGTTCATTGAGGATGGCGAACCGACCAACCTTCTCGACTATGTGGTGAACTCGGTGATCTCATTTGACGCAGTAGAGCAGCTGCTTCGCTGTTGCGAGATCATTACCTTGGACATGGTGGAAGGGAACGTCACCCATGCCATGGTGAAGCCAGTGAGCAAGCCTGCCATACGCGGTGCCCCACAAGGTGGCGATGGCCTTGGGGGCCAGGAGGAGCAGGAAGGTGATGCCTCTGCAAGAACTCACGATGGCGCTGCTACTGCTGCCAAAGTTCACAAGGCTCACCAGCCTGCCCCCAAGGCTGACAAACCAATCATTCCAAGTGGAGGAGACGAAGGGCCGAGCCAGGAGACCAGTGGTGGGGCCTCTGACGATGGCGAAGAGGACGATGCACACTTGTCCGTACCTAGCAGTGGTGCTGAACGACCGCCACTGCCTCCGTTTATACCTAAGACGAGGAAGGCCGCAGCCAAGGAAGACCGTCCATCAGGTCAAGCCAAAGCGCTCCAGGGAAGGTCGATCACCGATGCCCTTCAGAGTAATATCCCCGGCAGGATCACTCGCAGTCAGCGTCAAGCGATGGATGAGTCGCCCACCAAGAATACCCGCAGTCAGCATCCACTAGGAGCTGTGAAAGATTTGAAGAAGCTTCCTGATCCAAAGCGGAAACGTCAACCAGCACGTCCCGAGCCCGATGGCGAAGACAGCTCTGGCGAAGACAATCCGCCACCTCGGAAGCGTGGACGTGGTACTCGGGACGAGTTGGTAGTGGCCTCACCGAGGAAGAAGAATGCGAGGGCCGAGGACTCGGATGATGGTGACAAGCCTCCCGCAAAGTGAAGACGAGCTCTGCCTCAGACCCCGGAGGTCAAGGACAAGGGAGAAACCAAGCTGAAGCCGGTCCGTCTGGGGAAAGCAGCCGCCAAAGTGAAAGAGAGTGGCCAAGTTGGCGCAGGTCGCAAGACCCGCAGTGGCGGCACCAGACCTTGACAATATAACTCCAGTTCAAAGTAGACTCGTAGGCTTCCACATTATTTAATGTGACCCATAGATCTACATAGGTAAAGCCATGGAGATGGTGGCAATGGCGAGGGGAGTTGGCGAGAACTTCAGCAGGCATTCAGTTGACTTGGAGTGGCGGTGGCAAATCGAGTGCATGGAGATTCCATGCTAGGTTAAAAAGCATGTATATCAATACTCTAATGACTACACATTGTGGCTATCTGGGCGAAAGGCGGTGAAGACCATGGCGGAGTCAACCTTCTCTCAGAATGCGTCCAGAGACTTCACCACCAGCGAGGTTTCCTCTCTCGCCGTCGCCACCTCCTTCCCCACCTTCTTCGCTTCATCCAAAGCGGACGTCGCCACCGCCATCGAATCCTCTTTGGCGAGCGCCAATTCCTTCTCCAGCTTGCTCGCTTGAGCGATCGCCTCTGCCGCCGAAGACCTGAGCTCCTTCTCCATGCTGTCTGACCGCGCTGCCTGGAGCTCCATCGAATGACGGAGGTCGGCCAATTCGCCCTGCAGCTTGTCGACATCCGCTTGGCTCACCGTCTGGTTCGCGCCTTGCTCCAACCTGTTGACCTTCTCCTTGAGCTCTGGCAGGCAATGTCGCTTGGCGACGAGGTCCGCCACTGCCAACTTCATGCTCTCCTGAAGCTCGATGGTGACCGGCCTGCGAAACTCCTCCATCGCCAACTTGACCTCTTCGCGAATGCTCCGGGCATTTTCTTGAAATGCGGATGGCGGGTTGATTCGCTGGAGTGCTGCTGTGATCTCTGCCTTGACGGTGTTGAGGTCCGCCATCCTCTCCTGGAATTGGACTTCCATCTCATCCTTGTGCGCCAGGAACTCCTGTCGCAACTCGGCACAATTCGCGCAGTCATCGTTGGATGACTGCGAGGTTTCTTCGCCACTGGGGGTGTCGCCTTCATTCACCGGAGCGGGACTTCCTGTAGACACTCGCTGGATGTCGCGCAAGTGGGGTGCTGTATCCCTGGTCAGTGCTGCATGGATTCGAAGCTGTGGCGGGCGCACTTACCCTTGCTGGTCGGAGGCACTGCTCTGAGGCGGTTCGCCTTTGCATCCCTTTTCGCCTCCGCCTCCTTCTTCGCTGCCTTGCGGTCCAGTGGGGCGCCCCTCTTAGCTGGCCTTCGCCCTTCATCGAGATGTCCTGCCTTCGCCAATGTGGAGGACTTTGCTCCCTTCGACGCCTTAGATATCTCCAGGGAGGGCGTCACCTCCTGTGCCACCTCGGCAGCTCCTGCACTCGTCTCGTGGGGCATCAGCAGCGAACGCCGCCGATCGTTGTGTGGCCGCTCCAAGGACGCGCGCTGTTTCATGGTTACATCGACTCCAGCTGCGACAAGATGTCCTGCTTACCTCATCCTCCGCCACCTCTGCCTGATACTCTGGCGCATCCTCTGGTTCGTCGGCGACTGGTGTCAGCATGCGCTTGCTGCTGCTAGCTTGCGGCGGAGCAGCTGGCCCTGTTTGGAAGGCCATAGCCCGCACCGCCTCCATTGCCAGCCTGGCGGCTTCCTCCATGCCATCGCCTTCTGCCAGAGGCATCTTGGCTGCTGCCTTCGGAGCACTCGCCTTCGCCTTCCTGATGATCACGGGCACCATTGGGCCCGAGCGACCTCCCATCGCCACCCTTGTCGTCTGCCCGCCCTCCTTCGCAACAGACTTGGCAGGCGGGACCTCATCCGCCTCACGTACTGAGGTCCTGGTGACCTCGCCACCATCTTGCGCACCTGAGTTTTGGCTCCTCACCGGCTTTGCCTTGGGTCCTGATTTCTTACCTTCACCAGGTTTGGCGACCGCACCAGACTTGGCAGGCGCGCCAGACTTGGAGACCTCGCCAGAGTTGGCGACCTCGCCAGAGTTGGACAGAGCCACAGCTCCAGTGGCGGTGGCGGACTTGGTGGCGCGCTTGGACTTCGACGATTTCTCCACCGAGGCCTCGCCTTCAGCGTTGGCTTCATAGGGCATGACGGTCGCCTTCTGCTTCGTCGCCTCGACCTCCTCGCCACCCTTGACCTTGGAGCTGGATGCTGCAGCATTGCGCGTCTTGGTCTTCTTCGGCAGCTTGCACTTCGACGCTCCCATGACCATGGGTTCTGCACCGTCGGGCTCATCGGAGTCGACCTTGACGTCATATGGAGGTGGCGACATGGGCAGTGGCTTGCCCTCTACCACCAGCACTGCGCACATCTCTTGGAACTCACGCTGTGCGGTGTGTGAGTTTCCTCGCAGGGGCACACCGTCCGTGTTCCTCGGCGCGATGCTGCAACTGACGCCTCGTGCTGCACATTCGAGGCAGCGACCGAAGTTGGCGGTGTTGAGCTTGCATGGCCACTCTTTCTCCTGGCAGCCAACGCAAGGGACGAGCTGCAGGAACATTAGCATAGGTCAATGTCTCACAAGATCGTTACTCACCGAATCTGTTGCATGTACCCACATGAAGTCAGACACGCGGGTGGACGTCTTTTTCCACATGTCCTTCTGCGACACCGTCACCTTTGCCTTTGCCTTTGCCGTCGCCTTCCCCTTCGCCGTCGCCTTTGCCTTCCCCTTCCCCTTCACCTTCAGTGCGACATGAGGCGTCGCCGTCATCCTCGTTGTCTGTTTGACAGGTTTGGCAGGGGCGTTCATCTTCGCAACACCGTCGTTAGAGTCCCCTGCAGTCTTGGCGGGTAGATTGGAAGGCGGTGCCAGAGTCTCGTCTTCGCTTTCGATGAACTCCTTGCTCTTGTATTCCTTCGTCGCACACTTCTTCTTTGGTGGCTTGACGGTCGGTACTTCCTCTTCATTGCTTGACTCCCTCGCCTTCCTCTTCCCGCTCTTCTTCGTGCTCACCTTCGAGCCCTCCACCTCGGTCTGCGCCATCCTCTTCTGCGCACGCTGCGCTCGGCCAGAGGTGGTCGGGGCCTCGCCTTTCTCCTTTGCGACCTCGATCGGCTTCATCCGCTTCGCCTTCGGAACCGCCTCCTCGTTCTCACTCTCCTCACTCGACTCTGTGATGACCGCCTTGCGCTTTCGGAGTGATGGGGAAGCTGGCGAGATCAATATTGGTCTGGCAGTTGGCGGAGGGGGCGACGCCGCATCGACCTCGATGGATTCGGGCTGGCCTGCACCCGGCACGTCTTCCGCCATCTCATCGTCGTCATCTTTGTCGGCATCGTCATCCTCGTCACTGTCGGCATCGTCGTCGTCCTCGCCCTCCTGCTCCTCTCCCTCTCCCTCTCCCCCATCCTCTTCCTCACTCATCGCATGCGCCGCCTTCCCCTGCGCCTTCTCCTTGCTCTTGCCCTTTCCCTTGTCCTCCCCCACCTCCACGTGGACGATACGCTCACCCACCATGCCTGTCCCGACGTCGTTGTCAGCTCTCTCCTTGCCTTTCCCCTTGGTGACGAGGTCCCCGGTAGCCAGGTCCTCCTCACCATGTCCCTGGGTGTCGTCATCGGCTGGCACATTGCCCCAGCCCTCCGCTGGCATACTCTTCACCGGTGGCAGCTTGCAATATGGATCTGGTGCAGTCAGTGTGTCGCTCGACGCCTCACAACGCTTGTGACTCACCTTCAGTCCACCACTGCCTTCCCAGGTCCTCACACTCCCCATACTCGTGCACAGCCAGAGGGTACCTCTTGTATATCCTCTCGTCGTTGTTCGATATGTGGTCCAGTCACACCAGGGCCTTCTGCTGGTATGCCCGGGTGAATTCCAGCAACGCGCTGATGACAATCCCAGGCATCTTCAACGACTTCAAGGGCTGCGGGAAACTCTTTTCAAGCCGACTCTGTGTGGCATATTCGGTAAGTGCATGCCAGACCTTCGACCGATGACTTACCACTTCGAGGTAAATCCTCGTCTCCCAGTCCGGATAGCGAGGGTCATCCTGGCGAGGCACCGCTGCAACAATGGCCATCAGTCGCGCGGCCTGCAGAACATAGTTGGGGTCGATATCCAGAGGCATGGTGAGCTTGGCAGAAGAAAGCGTGAGGGTGTTTCAAAAGCAGAGGTTGCAGTACAGCGGAGGCAGAGCAGACGACGCTATGAGCTGGCAGACGCGATCTGCACCAAGTTCAACTTCACACGCCATGTGACCACGTGCTTTGCACGTGATCGCTGGACTTGCGCGATTTCTCAAGTCTCTCAAGGTCAGTGTGACCTGCCGCAAGTTCTCATGGCTCCCAACAGTAAGTTCTATTGCTCTCCTTGTGGAATCTGACTCCTTTGTGATGTTATCTGACCTTTCTATGTCATATCAATCCCCTTTCTACAACTGATCTCCCGCGATCCAGGACTGATCGAAGACTTGTCTGCTCACCACAATCTACCTGCCATGGCCAGTGACGCGGAACCTCCTGACACGCTGGACATTACGATGGGCGAGTCGGATGAGGAGGATAGTATCGCTGAGCCCCGTCGTCCACTCATTTCGGATCTCCTTGACTCTCCTGGATCTGCCCAGATCTCCTTGCCTCTCCACTCTGCTTCTCAGACACCCCTCGCGCCCCGCCACACTACCCCGTCCCTGGTGGCTCCATTTGCACCATCCAACTCGCCACATGAGCATCTCCACCGCCACGCCTCGCCAAAGGTACAGGCGTCATCTGGATCTGTGGCGCCTGTGGAGGGAAGTCGCGCACTTATTCCTGACCCTCTGGCGCCAGCTTGGGATGAAAGTCGTGGCAGTTTGCCAATCCATAGGCGTGCACTCATCTCAGATTCCACCCCCACTGCGCCCGGTGGAATGTTCGACTTCGACACTCCTGGCATCTCGCCAATCCCTCGACGCGCCCTGTTGGAAGCTACTCCCCTTCCTCCACCAGCTCACACTTTCGACTTTCGCACTCCTGACACCTCCCAACTCCCTCGACGATCGCTCATCGCTGAGCCCCTTGACGCTACGCCACGTACATCCATCCACTTCGATAGTCAAGCAAGTACGCCGATGGCGAGGGGCATGCTGGTGGACGAGACACTTGATGCGGAACCAGTGCCGAAACTGCTGGACTTTGACAATAGTCCTCCCGCCACGCCAGGACGACGGTGAGCTCTGGTGATAGACAGCCCTGGCGCGACGCCTGTGCGTAGCCAGGTCCGGTGGCTAAATAGTCCCAGCACTTCGCCTCCAAAGAGGCGGCCTTTGTTGGACGATGTTTTAAGTCCACCGCCTCCGCCATCGGCGCCCTCTCACTCGCCAGCTCGCACTTTCGATGACAGCAATTTCCGCCACGATGCACCTGTCATTCACTATATGAAAGGCAGCATCGAGCCAGTCACTGTTACTTCCAGGATGCCAAGTCTGGCAGCACTTTCAGATGAGCTGCCGATCCATCGTCCCACCCATTGGGAACAGGTTCCAGGCTTATTCCCAGATACCACACAGCTGCTGCCAATGGCAGTCCCTGGAGAGACGAATGCCGCTTCTGGCTCACAAGTGGCCCGCCTCGGTAGATCATTTGCGCAGATCGCAGCAGAGGCAGACAGTTCCAGTGAGTACATCCCTGGCAACCTTCAGTCTGATGTTGACCTTATTCATAGTGGATGATGACAAAGGTGATAGCTTTGCGGTTAGTGGTCGTCACGCCATGTTGCGGGAGCACATTGTACGTCTTCAGCGTGAGCTCAACCTCACTGAGGATATGCACGTTGCGAACCTCAATGCCAGCTCGACCGTGTTCCAAATGGGGTACATTCTGAGGGACATTCGTGGCGAGGCGTATCGCAGCAACTGAACTAGTGTCTTTGAGCGTTCTGGTGTTAGCAATATATGACCGCTATGTAACAGCTTGTATACCAGTACAAAATGGATACATTCACTTCTGCATCACTAAGCTCTAAAGCCCATCGCTCCTCCAGTGTACTCTTGAGATGGGCGGACTGCGCTCGCCATCACCAAGGCATGTTGTTGCCAGCAATTGGCCCATCGCCAAAGGACCTGAGTGAAAGCTTCACTGCATGGGAATATCGCTCCGCCAGCAAAGGGCCCACTGCCAAGGGTCAGAGGGTTGGCCATCGCCAAGCCGTGTTTTCGCCACCAATTGGCCCTCCGCCATGAGTGCTGGTGAGTGATGGGCCCACCAGCAAAGGTCAGAGGATTGGCGATCACCAGAGCACGTCATCACCACCAATGCGCCCGGAAACTGCAGGGCTGTATGTGACAATGGGCCCATTGGTGGCGATGACATATCCTGGTGATCGTCAACCCACTGGCCTTTGGCGGTGGGCTGATTGCTGGCGATAACATGCTCTGGCGTTGGCCAACCCTCTGACCTTTGGCGGTGGGCCGATTGCTGGCGGAAACATGTCCTGGCGATGACCTATCCCATGGGTGCTTGCAGTAAGGCCCTCACTGAGGGTGCTTTGGCGATGGGCCGACTGCTGGCGATAACATGCTCTGGCAATCGTCAACCCTCTAACCTTTGGCGGTGGGCCCATCCTTCAGGTTACACTCTGGGCGATCGGCCCACTGCTCATTCGTCATACTCTGGCAGTGGGCCGATTGCTCAGACAAACATGCTCTGGCCATGGCCAACACTCTGATCTTTGGCGGTGGGCCCATCCGTCATCTCATTCGTCATACTCTGGCGGTGGGCCGATTTCTCAGACAAACATGCTCTGGCCATGGCCAACACTCTGACCTTTGGCGATGGGCCCATCCGTCATCTTACACTCGTGGCGATGGGCCCACTGCTCATTGATCATACTTTGGCAGTGGGCCCATCGATGGCGATAACATGCTCTGGCGTCGGCCCACCCTCTGACCTGTGGCAGTGGGCCCATTGCTTAACGGTTACAACACTGTAATATGCCCTGCTAGTGGGCCGAGCACTGGGAGAAGAACACTAGCGGTGGGCCCACTGCTAGTATCCCACACATGAAAGATATGGGCCCACTGCTGGTAGAGGTCAACATGGTGACAATGGGCCGACGTCCGCTGGCTGTCCAGTTCATGACAATGTCAGGGTAAATGGGAGTTCAGTTCAGGTAACATGACTGAAAGGTGTGATGTTTTGATCACCCATCATCAAGAGAATTTAAGGCAATTGTGCCTCTTATTTCTCCATGGCAACCTTGATCAAGGAAAAAGAGTAAATTACTATTATTACCCTGGTGTTTCAATTAGGACTAGTTGTGAAATTTCACAATCTCAAGCCATTCTGCTGTACTAAAACTTGGAAAAAAATGTGTAGTGAATTTGCATAATCTCAGATACTTTGACTGTACAACCCAGAGGTAAAGCATAGAAGGGAGGGGTGCTGAGTCAGTAAATTGCAAGTCTGAGTAATTCAGGCATGACAGTAAGGCATGTCAATTGAAACTCCAACAAGAGGCAGAACAAGGGAGTGGCATGCTGGCAGGTGTGATAATCTGTGACCAATTCAGTGCTCTTGCATGCAAACAGCCTCTTTGGTGTGTTCCATCTCGTATTCACACAACACTAGGAAAAAATTCAGGAGTCACACAGAAGATACTTCATATGTCCTGTATTTAACCTGAAATTTTTAAGGCAAGGCAGGCTCAATTTGAAGGAGTAATGACAGAGTTGCAATCATGTTTGCATTACTGAGGTAACAATATTAAGAGTAGAGATTGTCTTAATCAAGACACTTAGTCAAAGGCGACAAATGCTGATGCACACAGACAAAAACCCTTCCATTTCGGCCCACCCAATCCTACTCGAGAAGTGCTTGCTTTACAGCTTGCACTTACCTTGTGATACAGTACTATTTCGACCACTCCAGCGTGGAGTGTGACATGTGACCAAAAGTTTCAGTCTGGCATCATGGCAGTGAAGGAACATGTAGCGCGCTGGAGTGGGAATCTTATTCAGCATAGTGGTCTCCCATTTTGGAGATACTGCATAGCGCTACACAACAGACCTCAGTCCAACATCAATCGGAAACTGGTTATAGAAGGAGGGAACGCTACAAGCCCGAAGGCTACTTCCAACTCCTCAACTACAATCTGCAACTGTCTCAAGGTCCCATTCGCCAACTCGTGTCTACTGGTGATTTTGCACATGACATTGCATAGTCCATGGACTGCATCATGCAGTGCATTAACCTGAAGGCACAACGTTCCTGAGGACAATAAAGATAAGGAATGTGACTCCAGGAAAAAGGGATAGGGCGACCACGCACCAATGTCAGAGAGATCATCCGGCGAGTGGCCCAAACCAAAGTCTTCACGAACAGCAGGGTCATCATATAGAATGCAGATGGTCAAACCATCCAGAATGACAGCTGGATGATGGTTGACAATCCAAGGAATCATCCTTCAACCACCTTCCATAGCTCAGACCATTGCAAGGTGAATTTCCACTTGGGCCAGGACAGGGATATCACGTGGAAGGGGTAAGATGATCCCCACACTGGCCGCTTCAGACTGGGCTTGAACCATGAAGACCTGAGGGAAGTGTGAGGATCAGACACTGAATGAAACAGTGATGTCAGTTATTAAAGATAATCTTTTCGACTAATAAGCAGTAATTTAGATAAGAATTGTGTCTAATAAGCAAAGATCATCCTTCAGATCATCCTGAGATAATTTGAAGAATCATCTGAAAATTATCCGAAGATAAAATTATCTACAAAATACAACTGAGAAATTGCCACCAGTCAGGATTAAACTCTCAACCTCATGGTAAATCACATAACATGTTTTCAACTCATGCTTTAGACCACTAAACCATTGGGCCTTGCAAGTAGTAAACCTTATATATAATATGTAACCTTCTTTTTTGAAAGTAACTTAGTCAAATTCTGACTTTCAAAAGACAGTAAGTGGAAAACTCTAAAGTTGACTATAAACAAAGATGGTTTTAAAGCTTGTAGCATTTATATAATGTCTTGTAATCTCAGATGAGATTACAATAGTCTATAACAAGATGTAAGTATTCTTGCTCTAGTAGGTATGTTATAAATTATAAACATTTACTATCTATCTGTCAATACTGATTCACTG